TGTGGTTTTATACAGCTGCCCAAGCTCTTTTGCGGGGTTTGAGACGTTCTGCAGCGTCGCTTTCGCCCCGGGCGCCAAACTAAGCGTTGTGGAGAATGTGATTTATCTCGATCAACTCGTCCACCCCCACGCCCTTAACATCTATGCCAAACGCCAGATCATCCTGACACCCAAGACGCTCGAGGGGCTTCTGAAAGATGCCGCTCCGGCGCGACCTGCGGAGGTGGACAGGCGAACGCACCCGACAGAACCCGCCCACGGCGGCGAAAACGAGGGCCCTCACCCTGTTGAAGAAAAGAAGATCCCAAAAGGGCCTCGCCCTCGACCTGACTTCACCCGGGAGGCCTACTACGGCTTTACGCTGCGGTTTGTGCAGTTCCACAACGCGAGTTGGGGCGTCCCTGTCATCGACTCCATCATCCGCGTGGGGGAGCCCTATTATTGCCTTGCCAAGAACGCCCTTTCCACGCTTTTCAAACCCGAACAACTGCCGAGGGACGCGTTCGAGGGGCTGATGGATTTACCGCCTGAGGCTAAAATGTTTTTTTGCTGCGGCGAGGACGCGAGTGCGGTGCTTCCTGAAATAAAGGACTCCAAGCGGTATCGGGTGTTTTTGTTCGGGTATTTGTGTTGGGAGGGCGTCTCGTCAAGCAAGGGTGTACGAGGGGTTTATATGCTCGACTGTGGGGTAAGTGATTTATGCAGGCTCCTCCCGGCGATGACGATCTCGGATATGATGCAATACCATCTTCAGATGGTCGAACATCAGAGACTGCAAATAATGCGAATGAGCGAGGAGAGGACGCATGACTGACTAAAAAATAGGAGTGTTCCGATAACCTATAGAAATCGTTAGATTGTTTACATCAAAAGCGACTCCATAAATATGTCGCGACTCTTAATATTAAAGGCGAGCAATGAGTCTAAACTTGTAAATACTATTTCTCCCTTTTCAAATGCTTCTTTTTTTTTTTTTGGTGGAGGGAGGAAGGAATTGAGATTGACTTTTGCTTTTCCATTGATATTTTTTTTTACTTAACTAAACGTTGAAACAAATCTTTAGGCATGCCATTTCCCCGGAAATCCGATCATTCCATTAGTAATAAAGAATGAAGAATATGTGAAGATAAAAATTTCAGATGTTTTCTATGAAATAAATTCGTTACATATGTGCTTTAATGAACTGCTGATGAAAAATATGATTTTTTTTGTGTGTTAGCTGGCTAAGTTCAAAAATTCAAGAAAATGGGTCTGCCTACTTTTCTAAATTTGTAATTTCATTTCAATTATATGTTTTTCTGAATGAAAAGAGGTTATTAGCACAAGGTGTCTGTTTACCCTTCAGAGTAATTTTATTTTTTATACTCATTTGGCTGAGTTCTGCGATATCCCACCCTCAAGGGGAATAGCCAACTAAATAATTTGATCAGAACTAAAGGTGAGTAACAAAACCCAATAAAGCACTCAAGCTTAGCAAATAATAAAAGCTTCCACAATATTTTTTATCAAGCCATAGTATTACCTAAAGCTCACTCATAATTACTTCTCATAGTATTGGAACCTTTGAAAGCATTTCGCTTCGTTCCTTTCTGTAGCCAAGGGACAAAAAGTAGAGGCAATCAGAAGCACAAAGTTTGATAACGTTCATATATCGCACATAACAACATAGAAACAACAACTATAAGAAGAAAAAACAGAGAAAATACATAGATTTGTTTAGATTTTTTTCTTAGGAGACTATAGGGACTTTGTGTACCGAAAGCGTCATGTGGCCCAACAAAGTGACAGATTTGTTTTCCCCTTAGACAGTTCATTTGTTTAGGCTTACGAAAGGAAAACATTTCAGATAAATTTTTTTTGAAAAGGCGTTTCCTATCGCACAGAAGTATCATTTAAGGCTCTTCGGAGCCACAATAAAAGGGAAGGGCTAAACCCACCACTTTCCATTTTTTTTTTAGCAATCTTAAATATATAAATTTTTCTTATAGACTTGGATAAGGTCCGATTCACATCTCTTGTACCTTCCCTTACACGTACAAACACACGCTCACAAGCTAGATAAAAAGGATTAAGAAGCTAATAAAGAGGTATATTTCCATTTATTATATGTCTATTTGTTTTTTGTATTGCTCCAGACATTCAGGACTAGTTTTGCTTAACGTCGTACCACTACATACCAGATACAGGTCGAGCAAAGCAACACAAAGCAAAAAGTAGAGACTGGCACTCAGGTATGGAAAGACGAAGTGTCCTGGAACAAGTAGTTAGACATTTTCTGTGTGAGCAACTTATATTTAAGTATCTATATCAGACACCACTATATCGACATTCTGATGCCTACTCTTCAACTCTTGTACCTTTATTCACAACATCTGGCGTCGTCTCTTTGAGGTCAAAAAAATCCTCAACGGCTGTGCATCCCATCCCTAGTCAGACTGCTTCTTACATTGTACGTCAAGACGTTTGGTGTGAGAAAGTAAGCCACAATCGCCCCAACGCTCAGAATAGCAATAAGGGGCCAACGTTTCCCCCTAGATTTTCTTTCAGAAGTTGGAGAACTACCGGTGCGCGTCTTTTTGCCGCAGGGCCCTACAGCTCCTATAGCAATTACTGCCCGGTAGCGCTCCATCTACAGCAATCTTCACACGGATCAACTTCACATTCCACGGAAGGCGGAGCTGAGGTCGTACGTGGGAGTGTGGAGCGCCCCAACGTGAGGCATCCCAAGACCCGCACCGTACGCGAAGGTCATCAAGAAATGACCCTTTTGTCCAACCTAAGTGTTGAAAAGTTTCAAAACGATACAAATAATATCACTGGTATCCACTTCACGACCAAAGCGTCGGTCAAAGATGGCCAAAGTGTATTAAAACTGATTTTGGAAAAACGCGTAAACCTTCCCGTGCCTAATTGGGCAAGCAAAATAAAGGCTTGGAGACTTGACAACAACAACCACAACAATAACGGCAATTTAACCGCAAGTTTGGTGTACCCGCACTGTGGAAATGGCGGCAGCCTAGAGACCGGTCCTGATCCACACGGCAGACGGGATGCTCAGTCTGAATACGTTCCTTTACTTCACCGATTGGAGTTCCGCAGTGCAGTGACCAATCAGGAGCAGGGCAATGCCGCGCAGGCTGACCTGGATGGTTTTCGTCATAGTTTTAGCGTTCAATTTGATACGGATCCCGAAGAAATAGCACAAACTGTGGAAACCCCCAAATTCCTTCTTTATCCACCTAAACTCGTTCATAGTGATATCATTAATACTGACCTTGAGAACGATAGCAGAGGCTGTAAAGAAAAAAAAGACCTAATGGCTAAACGAGGTCGCAGCAGCACAGGCCCTATCATTTTTGATTCTGTAGAATGGCTCTCGAAGGCGTCGGATTTCCCCCTTATGGATCCTGAAATCTTCAGCAGCTACACACATTTAACCGCACAAGAACTTCACTCTCCGTCGTATATCGATTCCTCAACCGTTCACATGCCCTCCGAGGTTAATCAGGATGCCGACAACCCCAACGGCGCATCTCGTTTGGAGGAAAATGCCCTGGCGGGGCGCGTTGACGTGCCTTCCACATCTCACAAAGAGATCTCGACGATGGTTCGGGAGGCCGTGGGAGACCGCCTGCGTGGAGAAGGCTTAGGGGCTTTTGCGAAATCCCAGGATGGCATTATTGACGAGGACCCAGGGGGGATTCCCGAGTCCTCCGTGGGCCCCGATCCGACGGTAAAAAGCGGTTCCAAACCGCTCCTTTTCAACGTCTTTACTCGTCGTGTGGTGACGCCCACCTCAGCCTCCGTGCGCGGCCTGTCTTTGATCGGAATCACCCTAGACGACGGGACTCGCGAATTAGCTGTGAAAGACCCCGCCGCGTTGCGCGCGGTCGCGATGGCGATACGGCAAAAACGTCTTTCCTGGCCAAAAGCCTGGTCCCGCGGGGCCTTGTACGCTCAGCTGAAGTACATCATGCTCGACGAATCTCTACAAGATCCCGCGGAGAAAGTGGAGGGGCTGCTACGAGCGCAATACCAGCGCCTGCGCGATCGTCAAAGCACCGGGGTTGTGGTCCATACTGCCAGCGAAGACATGGGAAATGAGATGATAGGGCAATCGCCTTCATCGCAGGCCTCCGACGCGATCCATTCGAAAAGTGAAGAACGATTCTTGTCAATTGAGGATCTTAGCGAGGAGCAGCAAGAGGTCATTGGGTTTGTTCTAAAAGGCTACCACACGTATATTGGTGGTGGCGCCGGCACTGGGAAATCTTCTTTATTGCACGTTTTAAAACATCGGCTACGACAGGAGGGCCTGCGGGTGGCCGTTACCTCTACCACGGGAGTCGCAAGCAGTCATATCGGCGGCTGTACTCTACACCACTGCTTCGGCATCAACCTGCATGGAGATTTTACGCGACGTGAGGAGTTGAGCTCCTACGATGCGATCATTATTGACGAGATATCAATGCTCCCACGGGGACTTTTTGAGACTTTGGAATGGCAGCTACGACGATCCAATGGCGTGAATCTGCCTTTTGGCGGAGTCCAAATGATCTTGTGCGGAGATTTTATGCAGCTGGGCGCGATTGCTGCTGAGCCCATCATACACTCCCCGCTGTTTCGTTCTAACTTTGCAATGCTTAAGCTTATGCGAGTGATCCGACAGGGTGCAAATCCGATTTTTGCGCTGCAGCTTCAAGTCCTGCGACGTGGCCTTGTTCCTCAAGGGCTCGAAAACACCGTCCAGCTTATTTCCACTAAACAACGCGCCGAGGAAGCACGCCGAATGGAGCAGCTCAAAGAGCGGCAACGTGCACAACTGCAAGCGATCGCGATACTCAACCCCTCTGTGCAACCCCAGGAAATCCTCCCGCACCCTGTCATAACCGCAAGCAACGATATTGCCTCAGTCGAAGCGAGATCCAGCCCCCTTGACGAGACGTCCATTAGCCGCAATGAGGTGGGAAAGGAAAATTCCGTGGCCCAACTAGCCCCGCCAAGCGGCACGGGAGGCTCGCATGTGAACCCCCCTTTGATTGACTATGTTGAAGATGCCGTCAACTTATTTCCGACAAATAAACAAGTCCAGGAGGCAAACCTGCAGGAGCTGGCCAAGCTACCGGGTGAGGTTGTCGTGTATAGCACACAGGTGTTGACCCCTACTCTGTTAGGCACCTGGAGTCCGACTTATCTGCTTCAAATAAAGGGACATGGAAAGCCCAATGTGAAGAAGATCGCATTAGAGATCAAGCTTTACATTAGCGTCTTTTTCGAAAAAGTGAAGGAGTGGGATTTGTGGTGGAAGCAGATGTTAGTACAGCAGGACATCGTGCTTTACTTTCTCTTCGCCGACGCTTTGGCGCTTCGGGTGCGCATTCCACACGGATTTGACGGTGGCGAGGCCCTGCTTACACATCTGGCCGGCCTCGTCGACCACCTTTCCTCTTCGGCGGTTGCCGACCTTGGCGTGCAGGTGCGTGAGATCCTCCTCAGCCCCGACGGCCTTCACACTGAGGCAGATGAGTACATCCTCGACCAATACGCCGCGCATGCCCCGGTAAACGCGTCGTTAGCGCTAAAAGTCGGGGCGCGGGTGATGCTGCGGGCGAATCTCGCCCCTGGTCTCGTGAATGGCAGCCTCGGGACGGTAGTGGGGTTTCGCGAGCCCCCTTTTGCGGACGCCCTGGGCTTTTCTCAGAGGAATTCCACCCGCGAGGAGGTCCTCCGCGGTTATGTCGACTTCCTCCGCTACGAACACGGCGTCGGGGTGGCGATGCTGCCGGAGGTGGACTTCGGCGACGGGCGGGTCGAGCTGATTTTCCCCGTCAGTCATCGCATCGGGGGGTTTGCGAACACTCACCACTATGGACTATCCCTGGTGGCCCTACCGCTAACCTTGGCCTACGCCTTTACGGTGCACAAAGTGCAGGGACTGACGTTGGTGGGGCGGGTGCACCTTGAGCTGGCCCGGATGTGGCCCTGCGAGCATCTCCTTTATGTTGCCATGAGCCGCGTGCGGAATCCGAACCAGCTGAGTATCTCGAACTTTGACGACCGCCTCGTCTGCGCCGCAGCGGATTGTCTGGTTTTTGATGACAGCTTGCCCTCTGTTCGAGGGGTTAGGCTGCTGCCGCACTTTTTTCAGGCCACCTGGTACCGCGTCCCGACTCGGCGTAAGAAGGCGCTGCGTAAAAAGGAGCTGGAACGCATAAAGCAGAAGCGCAACCAAAAGACAAAGGAAAAGCTGTGCAAAGACGCGGAGAGGATTATTTCTGAGATAAGTAGTATCACCGATGCATAAAGTGACGGAAAATATTTGAAAGACACCACTTTGATGATATTGGTTGTTCTTGTACCGAGGCATGCCGTCAGTATGGAACTTCCGCAATTTCCATCAAAGGTTTCGGATGCGGGAAAGACTCTTTCTTTATGGGAATTTTATCTCCGTCCAAACGATGCTACTCTGAGTTTATTATGCTCAGCATGTGTAAGTTTATTGCTACAGAAAAAAAAGAGTAGGGAAACCTATTTAAATTTGGTAGACAATCATCAAGCATACGTAAGATGAGGTTAGATACAATAAGAGTCATAGAAATCATTACCACTTAGCATTCTGTATGGCAATAGTTATCATTCTAAGTTTTTTATTATACCAGTCTATCATGCACACCACAAAAAAATTTCCTCCTTTTTCCAAAATTTATTTTATTGTTTATATTTGTATAATATAGTTGTTTTACCAGTAAAACACGTTACAGAGCTTTGTTCGTCTCCCTAAATTGAGACAGCAAGCCCCTACAAAAAAAAAAAAATACTAGATTTTAGATTTTTTCTCACATTTTTTTACCGTTTTCTTGAAAGCTTATATCCCTCTATACATCGTCTTGTACAGCTTTTTATAAAAAGCAAATCAAACGGTGCGCTTTTTTTCTAGACATTATTTATATCTTACCATCATCTTTATCATCCCCTTTCCCACGCGTTATAAACCATTGAATATCTGAACTATAAAATACACGAGAGAAGGAGAAACAAAGATCAAGGATTACATCATCGATCATAGAAACCTTACACAATTCTTTTTTATTATTGTGTCTGTAACTTGTTTTTAAGCAATTACGACGATACAACGGCCTTGGAATCGTTTTTTCTTAAAAACAATATAATTTAATAATTTCCTAATTATTAGCTAGCGAAATAACGTCAAGAGAGAACACAATATTATTCTGTGGGACAACTACATAACATATTACGCGAATGCTTCGTCGCCTGAGTAGTACTTTTACCTCTCAATCGAGAAGTCGTTGCAGCACTTTAATGTTGGTAAATAATATTTGTACTTCGACAAAATTACCACCACTAGTGCTCTCCTTGCTTCACAAAGCGCAAACGAGCTCAAAGATAGCTTTTTCCATTGGTATTTACCCCCGCACCTTAACCCATTCTTTCCGCCTTGCCTCAACAACAAGGGCTGCTGCAGGAGAAGACAGCTCAAAACCCGCAACACGGCGCGGAAGACTACCAAAGAAGCCGAATGTCGTTAGTCCTGCTCTTCACGGGGACAGCAGCTTGACGAATACCTCGGTGATGCCAGAGAACCCACAAGCCCCTTTCTTAATCACCCCGCCGGTGCCTAAGCCGCTTGAAACGACATTGAAGAACAAAAAAAAGAGATCGCAGGGTAACTCTACGCAAGGAAAACGAACAAAGACTACAAAAGGGAGCAAAGTGAACGCGAACGTTGATTTCGACATTAACCTAGATGAGCTGTCCATCTTTTCAGAAATGCTATCAGACGAACACACCCCTCGCAACTTTTCGCAAACTACCCTCGTGTACAACGCGCTCACAGGGCGCATGACGAGCGAAATGTCGAACTCTATAGCTTGCTTAAAGGACATCGGCTTCGGTATCAACGAGCAGCGCCAAATTTATGTCGAGAAACCGGAGGAAATTAATAAACTAGCAGAACGCGTGCGTCTAGGGACATCTTCACTTCCGTCTAAATGGCCCACCATGTTAACTCGCGTTCTTGGTGGTATTTTTAAGAATCCCGTGATCACCGACCCCGCCGAAGCGATCCAACAGATGATCCAAATCAAAGTGAACAGCGTGATGCGCAGCAAGTACACCTCAATCGTAACCTCCTCTTCGTGCGAAGGCAACGAGGCGGACGACAAAAGCATACGCGACTTTCTTCTAGAATCCGACGACGATGCAAAAGGGATCGAGCTCAACTCCGAGCAGGAGCGCGTGATTGCGATCACTCTAAAAGGGCATAACATGTATATTGGTGGAAGTGCGGGCACCGGAAAGTCGGTGCTTCTGCGCGCCTTGAACCGGCGGCTGAGGGCAAATCACCTGCGTGTCGCCATGACGGCCACGACCGGCGTCGCGGGATGCCATATTGGCGGCTCGACCTTTCACCACATCATGGGAGTGTCGTCAAAAGGTGAGTTCCTGCGTCGCTCGAACATCCTAGACTACGATGTAATCATCATTGACGAGGTTTCCATGCTACCCCAAAGCCTTTTCGAAGACTTCGACCGCGTGATGCGGGAAGAGGCCGGTACGCCTGACTTACCCTTTGGCGGTGTACAAATTATCCTTTGTGGTGATTTTCTCCAGCTTGGTTGCATCAACGAGAAGTCGGTAATATATTCTAAGATCTTCGCAGACAATTTTGTGAAGCTGTGCCTGCAGACACAGGTACGGCAGTCCGCATTCCCAATATTTGCTCAAAATTTACAGCAGATGCGTCTGGGCATCGTCCCGAGCAACCTCACCGAGATGGTGAAAGAGCTCCCCCCCGGAACCATGGTAGACTCTGCCGTCAACCTGCTTCCCACCAATAGCGAGGTTCAAGTGGCGAACGAGCGAGAACTCACACGGCTGCCTGGAGACCCTTTGACTCTTACACCGGAGACTGGTATCACCTCTCTGAAGTGCGAGGCCACCGTAACGCTTTTGTTGCGCACAAATAAAGAAAACTTTAACGTACACCTCTTCTCCAAATACGTCCGTTCTTTGCTACAGGCGACGCTGGACTTTCCTCGGGCCTCCCTGTTGTCCATCTACCGCATCTACGAAGACGGCCACGCGATGCGTGTGGTGCTGCCGCAGAGTGAAAGCGTAGCCTGGCGTGAGGCCATGCGGGAGCGCTTTATCGAGGTTGCCGGGCTTATTAATGACCTTAACCTTGGGGCTACCGTGACCGAAATCGTCCCCAACGGCGATGGCCTCCACACCCCCGAGAACGAGGAATGTCTTCACAAGCTCATGGCCAAACACCCGATTGCGCAGCCGTTGACCTTCAAAAAAGGCTGTCGCGTGCTCCTTCGGTCGAATATCAGCACAAACCTGGTGAATGGCAGCATTGGGACAGTTGTGGACCTGGTGGAGTGCAAACTCGCGAACTTCCCGGAGTACCTGCGGAATGTCAACATCGAGGAGTGCATTGAGCGCTACAGAATGTTCTGTGTCACGGAGTGCGGGATGCCCATCCCTCTCGTGCCGGTGGTGAAGTTTCACAGCGGGGAAACGGTGCCGGTGCCGCCGTGGGAGTTCAACGTCGGTGGGACCCCCGCGACGAACTACTACAGCCTATCCCTGGTGGCCCTACCGCTAACCTTGGCCTACGCCTTTACGGTGCACAAAGTGCAGGGACTGACGTTGGTGGGGCGGGTGCACCTTGAGCTGGCCCGGATGTGGCCCTGCGAGCATCTCCTTTATGTTGCCATGAGCCGCGTGCGGAATCCGGACCAGCTGAGTATCTCGAACTTCCGAGAAAACATGGTGGTGGCGAATAAGGACTGCGTCACCTTTGACCACGACCTGAAAGCGGCCGAGGACATCACAGTCGAGGAGCTGCGGGGCTACCCCGTCTCCTCTTGGAGGCGGTGCAACGACACAATTTTGCACCTCCGTCGCCGTGGGAGCTCCCTTCGACGGCTTCTGCAGGACACGATGTGCGCGAATGGTCGGGAGGGAGGGATGGAACGCCCTCTCCCAGCCCTCTCGGGGCTCGACCTCAGCTCCGCCTCGGACGGCGACACTCGTGAGGAGGAGGGGGAAAGAAAAGACCCCCTACGCGCTGGCAGCGGTCGCGCGCCACGTACGTCGTCGGCCCACACGGACCACCTCGTGTCAGTCGAGAGGTCGGTAATCGTCGCGCGGCGAATGCGGAAATTAATTAGGTGCGTCGAGCGGGCTACCAAACTGAGCGAATCAAGACGGAAGACAAAGGCCACAGTGGTGCTGGGTGCACCCGTATCATCGCCCCCTACCGCCGCCAATGGTGAAGGAATGGTGCCCTTGACATTCCAAGAATCTAATGGGAATGGCGTGCGGACGGATCTAACCCCCACCAAAAATGCGGAAGACGATTTGTCTGCTACTGAATTTTCGTTTTGAGTAACCATAATGAATGCAACTGAAGTAAAGGATGGTGAACACTCACCAAATGAAAAGAAATTGCTGTAATCCCTAGATTTAGGAGTTATTAATTATGAGGGACGCCATTTGCCATCAGAAAACGAGAGTACCACAACTATTTCAGCGACTTACTCGTCTCTGTATTTCTCATGTAAAAACGGATAAGCCATTTCCAGGGTCAGAAAATAGAAACAATAATGCCCCTGGAAAAGTGATTATCATAAACGTTTATATGCCTTCTCAACCCTAACCTGTTTGGAATTACACAATCTGAATGTTATATCCCATTGTCAGATAATAAATTCTCCGACGCCTACATGCACACTAATAATATGACATGTAGTTCCGCTGCACCACACGGAACTGCAGTCAAAACATAGAGTAACTTTTTTGTTTGTTTATACTTCCTCCCCTCTTTAGACGCACGTTGTCATGTCGGTATGCATATATACATGCATGTCTACATATATGGTATGTTTTCTTTTTCCGCTGTATATACTCTAAGTTGTAGGCCCCCACGCATTGGTAATTTACAATTAAAGTAAACACCAACATAGGAAAAAAGTATATACATGAAAAATAAATCGACCAATAAAAATGGTATTTTGGAAAACCAGAAAGTATTATAATTACTAACTTGTCGGAGAAACACTACACTCATGTTTTTTTAGAGAAGTTGATTAAGAAATCGAAGATGTAAATTTCTTATTCAAAGTGTGTATCCTTGTTTCTGGGTAAAGCTGTACGTTTGATTTTTTTAGCTGATATATATGGATATATATATATATATATATATGTTTATGTATGAAGTGGTAAGCTTACCTCTATCTCAGTGCAAAATCAAAGATTGAAAATAACACTTCATTGGGTATAAAACACATTAATGGGTAAATATATCGTTTGAAAAGTAAAGATTTATATGTACATGTATGCGTTTGTATTTTAAAAAATTTAGATTCCATTCAAGTTTCTAGATTCATAAACTTACATATATGCAATTAGACTTATACAAACTTCCAAATTATTTATTTTATAATTAGAATTTTAGAATACGAAACTTTACCTATTTCCAGCTTTTTGACTTTCAAGTTAAAAGGTCACATTTGGTTGCGTGTACTTAACATTTTATCTTTTACTTTTCTGTATACTGAAGATTCGAAAAAATGATTTCAGAGGATGCATCTAAACTATAGAAAAGATATCAAAGCACCAAAGGTGCGCAAGCATTCAATCTGGAATATTTTCATTTTTGAAGAATTTTCTTTGTTTTAAGTTATTATTGGTGTATGATTTTTGCACTTTCTATAAATATTTATGTATTTTTAACTAAGTACATTTTGCAGTTAGATCGAAATTTTGATTTTAAATCTTTTTTATCTGTGTGAGTGTAAAAATGGAAAGTGATCAAAAGCATAATATAAAGTATATTCAGAATCCTGGTTGTCATATATTGGATCTCTAAAACTTACAATCCTCATGAAACAACATAGTTCACATGTTTGGTTTAAATAACATACTACTAAATAATGCTGTGGCATGAAATATCCTCATTTTATGTGCTCAACATTTTCTCATTTCACTCTATAGTCTGTTTGGTTTTCATATCCTATGGCTGGCACCAGTAGGTAAATACATTTTGAATTGATTAAATTTAAGGTATCTTGTGGTTAATTAGAGTATCTCGATCAATTTTTACATTTTTTCATATAAAAATAAATAGATACATACATATAACGGCACCCAATGACTGCTAAGAAATCCCTGTTGTTACAAAAGGAAAGTCATAATTCAAAGAAGTCCGTTTCTATGCCTGCGCCTCGGTCCCATAAAAAAAAAGAAAACCCAAATCCACTTCTTCCACCTAAAAATGGAGGTAGTGTGAAACGTCAGGTGGTTCCGGCATCCGTTGTAAGCTCAAAAAAAAGCATACCACCGAAAACGAAATCAGTAGCGTCCACTCCCTCCCCAAAGTCGAACCAGGCTAAGCACCCGACCCCTGCACCCAAGACTGCGGTATCTCACCACGCCAAAAGTCATGGAAAGAAGGATAATGCACAAAAAAAAGAAATCCCAAATAACGTAGCACCATCATCTTATCCTGTTCGATCTCCTTCAAAAGCCCCGACTTTCACGAAACCAACGCCGACAAGTCAGCCCCCACAACCCCCCTCAAACTCCAATAAACGGGCCCGAGAAGACCCCAAAGATGAAAGGTGTGGTAAGTTCAACGGTGTGGAGGTAAAGGACACGAAGGCGAAGCCGTCCGCTGGGCCTATAAAACCGGTCTTGGGGAAAACACACGCGAATAAAAAGTCCGAACCACCCCGCCCGTCCTCACGGCCTTCTTCCACTCCCCCTTCCCATCAAAATCGCGAGGGGGGGAATTATTCTCATCCTCTTATTGAGGTGGATGAATTTATCGGCAAACCCTTCTTTTCTCCTCCTGTGCACGTGAGCCACTATACCGTGGTTTCGTGGCCTCTTTCGGCAAATCCGTCCGCGGGGGAGGGGTGCGGGGCATCCGACGCTAATTTTGAGGGCCGCAATAAGTCTTTTTTCCCCGCCATTGCCTTTTGTTTAAGCAATACCACCCACGGCGTGTGGTTTCCCCAGGATGGGAGTTGTCTACAAATCCTGACCGCCCCATCCGATCACCCCGCGGGGGATCCCTCACAGGTGGAGAGTTGTGTATTGTATGTGAACCCCGCAGGGCATGCGATGGTGTTTCGCTTGGAATCGCGTTGGAAAACGACGCCGGCGGAGGGCTCGGCCGGGGGGCTTCCCCCCGGCCTTCAATGGCTTCTCATTCCCACCTCTCTACACCACAAATTCAAACTCCTGCCCGGGGTTCATCGCTGGGCTGGAGATTTCGCAAAGGCCACGAGTGCGGGGGAAGGACAGCGAGGACTAATGACCGAATTTCACGCGGCGCGTTGGTGGGATCCGGCGAGGGCGCGGCAAACCTCCTGGCGGATTGGCAGCCAAGAGGTTTTCTCCTTCGGCCTTCGGGTGGTTTTCGCGCGGGATGAGGTCAAGAAGGGGAAATCCGATAAAACAACCCCACCCCCGGGCGGTGAGCCGCCGCGTTCGAAGTCCGCGGCGTGGAAAACTCCACCTTTTCGACCGGAGCTTTCACCGGACCTGCGGTGGTTTATTCCGTACGTTTGCACAGCGCATCTGCCGCCCTTTTCCAGCGGCGAAAAGGGTGGCGGCCTCACCAAGGAGGATCATATGCCGGGAAATCGAGCGGCGGCCACTCCGAGCTCTCCTCCTCATTCCCAAAAAGGTGTTTGGGGCCGTGAAAGCCAGGAAATGGAAGGATGGGGAAAGGATTGGGCAAACGGAAGAGCCTCCTCGCGGTTGGAGGGGGAGGAGCCCTGTGCGCGATTCACATTGGCGAATACCTTAGAGCGGTACCCAGACGACTTGTTTTACATCCATCCGCGTGAGCAGAATTTCTAAGGTCTCAAAAAAAAAGGAGACATCCTTTAATAGAACCGTGTCGGATTTTTTCCATAGGTTTCCTTCTTCAAAAATCAGATGACTTGTTTATTTCTTTTGTGTTTTTAACGTTTTATACTTGTGTAAAGCGCATCCCTGTGTATGAGTTAACCTAGGCCATTTGCTTTACTCCAACTATTATTTTCCATTTATTTCTTATTTTTTCTGCTCAGATGAAATTTGTAACAATCATGAACTTATCCCATCGTTCCCATTTCCTTCAAAGATTATTATACTCTTTACAAGTAAAGTATTTGATTTTGAATAGATCCAGTTCCTGTATAAATATCATTTAATGTTTATCCTATTTCACTATTAGTTTGGATTTCTTTCAACACTTTTTTTTTCCATCTTTTTCATTATTCCTGTGTGTGTGTGTATGGTGTGAGTGGCTACTTTCTCTCTAACGTAAAGCATTTATAGTGATTTTTTTTATAGATTATTATTATTGTTACTAATTGCTCACCTATCTGAACATCTACCGTGTAGACATTGAAATTCACTGAACACGAATCCCCCAACTCCTATCCGTCCTCAGCATTACAACCTACCATGTCAACCGGTTTTTGCATTCCAGAAAAGCGCGAACAGCTCATTTTGACCGCCAAACTTGCCGAACAGTGCGAGCGCTACGATGAGGTGTTGGTGTGTATGAAGCGCGCGGTGAAGTTGGATCCTCACCTCTCCCGTGAGGAGCGTAATTTGCTCTCCGTGGCCTACAAAAACATCATCGGCGGCCGCCGCTCTTGCTGGCGTAGTATCACCTCCCTAGAACTCAAGGAGGAGGCCAAAAAGGAGAAAAACCTAAACCTTATCAAAGGCTTTAAACGGCAGGTGGAGAAGGAGCTGGCGGAGATCTGCACCGACGTCCTGGAGCTCTCGGACAAATACCTCATCCCCGCTGCCGATAACGACGAGAGCAAGGTCTACTACTACAAACTCAAAGGGGATTACCACCGCTATTACGCCGAGATCGAGGCCAGCTCGGAGGCCCAGAAGAACCTCGCGCTGGATGCCTACACCCTGGCCTCGGAGCATATCACCTCGTTGAATGTGACCTCGCCGGTGCGGCTCGGGCTGGCCTTGAACTTCTCCGTGTTGTATTATGAGATTTTAAAACGGCCAGATATGGGCTGTCAGCTCGCTCGCGAGGCCTTCGAGGAGGCCCTCAGCGAGCCTAAAGTGCTCGACGAGGAGCAAAATAAGGAGGCCGCGCTGATTATGCAGCTCTTGCGGGATAATCTCGCGCTCTGGACAGAGGATGCCCACCCGGAGAGCCCGGATGACGGAACCGCGATGGAGGAGCTTGAATAAAAGACTCCCCTGCGTGGAATCAGAACCTTTTTCTCACATATAATCGGAAGGACTCCTTAAAAAAAAATGAGGATTAAAATGCCGAATAAAAGTGTGTTGCTTTTAAGGATCCGTTATACTTATTGTTATTGTTATTGTGCCCATGCCTTTGACGCCTATATTAGCGTTACTTCTCTTATTCAGAATTCTTTGAGAAACACGATAAGGCTATAGGTATGACTTTTCATTTAAAAGGAAAAAGGAAAGATGTATAAGAGGTCTTATATGCATTTTTTGTATGTTTGCTAGTTTGCATTTTTCTTTTTTTTTTTATCACTTTAAGTGTCTCATTCAGCCTTGTAATTTTCACTAAGGCACACAAATTCTAAGAGCTAATTTGGTTTGTATGCTTCACTTATTTTGACTAAATAGGAAGAAGCTTGCTGCGCATTCATTCATTTATCAAATTGCGTCTACACAGTATAAAAGGGGGGAAATGATTGCACTTTAGTTTAAGGCACGTAAATTAACTTTGAAGAATGGAAGAAATATATATATATATATATATATATAATTTTTAAGGATGAGAGTAGATGTGTCTTTATATCAGCGTAGATCCTAGTAATTCTGTGCTTTTGATATATATTCTAGTGATATACAATTTTCTGGAGGAATTGGAAAAAAGGGGTAAAATACAGCAATGTGTCCTAATTTCTTTATAGATGTTGCGAATCAAATTATCTTTCTCGCGCATTGATAGCACTAAGGAATTGTGAATTGAGCATTGGAACAAGTGAAAGCAAAAAAATAGTAAAAATAGAAGGAAGATGTCTGCTTTTGATTCTCAGCGTGTGGAACTATTATGTGAGTAATCGAGAGAAACAGGGTAAGAGAATGTTATGTCTTTTGTTTGTATTTTGTTTGTCTGTTTTTTGTTTTTGTTTTTTTTAATGTACACCAACTATCGATATAATGGTATGAAAATTGTCCCTTGTGAATATTGGAGTTCTATTGAGAGAATCAAGTAAGGAATGTTTTTTAGAGAAAAATGGATTTGGTCTGGTATCGTGAAATAACGATGCTTACAAAAAGATGGAATAAACCCTAAGGAGTCAATCGGTGGAATGAATTTCTCTGATTTTATTACATCACTTTTTTTTTCACAACACTTTTGTTTTATTATTCTTCTTCTTACGGGCTTTTAGGTACATCAATCACTCTACAAATGAATTACACCTCAGAGCTGTATTCTATGGGTAGCCCAGGTTGAAAAAGAAAAGGGCTTTTTTTCCAGTCCATGCTGAAACCGAAGGGGGGTAACGCAGAAAGTCTGAATTCAGTGGCTGCTGTGTGGACCTTTTCATGGTGGAAATACCGTGCTGAAGGGGATAAAAAGTCCCTCCCTGCAAAACGGCAAGTTCTCCTGAGTAGTTTGATCTTAAATAGTACGCAGAGTTAGCGAGTCCTTCTGGCGGATTTGCCTTGGGAGTATCTGGAGTTAGATAAGTAGAAGACTACGATTGATATCAAATAGAATTAAAAGCATTCGAGCGAAAATGACTCCAGGAAATAATGTGGGAGGTTTTAGATCTATGGTGGAATCGATAGAAAAATGAATAAACTCTGTTTTCTACTGAATAAATTTGTGTTCTTTATAAGAAAATGAACGAAAAGCAACTATCGAATTTAATGGTCTTTACCACGAATTGATCATTTGCTTTTAGGCGCTCAAACAGGTGCATTTGGCAAAATGTACTGTTAAATGACATTGCATTTTGTCTATACATTATTCTTCACGCCAACATTTACGGAGTATTATTTTGTCTTTGTGTGCCTGTGTTTTTTTTCTTTATCTACTACGCAATTTAGTTCAGAAGTAGAGAGCACAAAAGCAAGATTGAATCTAGTGTAGATTATAGCTGTCCTAAAGGTGATGGTACCCCTTCCTGTTTTTAAATTTGTCTTTCTTGGGATTCGACAACTTACAAAGCCGATTACTAAACATGTTGTCGCGCGAGCTAACGCAAAGAAAGGCATCACACACAAAGTATGCATTGGCTTAGGTCGTATATCCTTGGGGCTCTCTGGAGTCATTACAGAGTGGTCCAATAAAGAAATGCAAAAACAGGCTAAAAATGAAGAATTCACAGAAGAGGAGAATCGAAAAGCTGCAAAGACACCGTCAAAGTTGGAGTCGGAGGCGATCGAATTTGGCGGTGAGTCTCCCTCAGGGGGAAACGCAGCGCCGCAGAATAAAGCCAACCCAAAGTCTTCATCCTCCATGGCGAAAACGGATCTGAATTTCCCCCAAGGCATGGAAAGTAAAAAATCGGTCAACGCAATTGCCAGCGCCACACCAAGGTCGCGTTCACTACTCGAGGTTCTCACCTATGGCCCTCAGCCAAAGGAATCCGATAGGTACGACAGCAGTATTTTTGTAAACCCAAGGTGGCTTGCCGGTGGGGTTGCCCGCATCCTTATAGGTCAATCCTATCATAGTGCATGGGCGGTATTCCGAACAACGTTTCTTTCACCATTCCCGGAGGAACGTCTCGTAAATGCAGGGGTGGATTTGTTGATAGAAATGTTAGCCTACATGGTGTTGGCGTCATTGTTGTTTTGGGAACTTTCTATTCAGTCAAAGGCCAATGCGGCGAAGGAGGCTAAAATTGATGAGATGGAGAAGAAGTTGAATCAACTAGTAGATATGATGCACTCGGATGGTCAAAACAGCATCATTAAAATCACGCCGGTCCAAATCCTGAACCTAGAAGAAAGCGCAGTAACCCCTGGAATACTGTCCTGCGCGGTAGAAATGCAATGTGAAAAACATTCCATACGCAACAAGAAATAGACTATGGTAAAAAGTGTTTGTATGTAAAGGAAAATCCTAATGAGTCTAGAAAATTAATCTGGGTGAACTCTGTGGTGGAATCCGGACTGCATGACTCTTTGAAGTAGGCATAAAGAAAGTGACAACATACACTGACAGAAACGATGCCGCAACCGTGGGTCCGTCTGTATTTCTAAGAACCATAAGGAATTTTCCCGTTCTTGTTGGCATACAAATATTACAATATTTTTAACCTTTCACCTGTCGGGATTAAAATTGCTTGCATTCCTCCCTATCCTTTTCTCTAAAATCATTAAACCTAAACTTATTGTCAACAGGAGTTTTTGTTATAGTAATGAATTGCAAAACCGTATTAACTTATTTAGTTGCCAAAGACTTCTAAGAACTTGAATAAGGAATTGAATGTAATAAAGAAATCGGACCCACGTACATTGTTTTTGAGTAGGAAAAAAAATCATGTGATTTATCTTAGCCTGAGCAACCGCTTGGATTGTTTTCTGTTTTCTTTGCGTAAATTTCCTTTTCTCTTCTCATTAAGAGTTTAGTTGTCGCAATAACTCACATTCTCGTCCCTGTTGCTAATTTATGCATTTTGCCTTTTCATTCTATTATCATTTTTTTTTAACATTAGAACACCAATACTGTGTACATTTTTTTGAAGAAAAAAAGACAACTTTAGATCCATTCTTCAAGTACACTAAATAATATAATAACAATTTGCTTCGTAAGAAAGCCTCTTGATCTTTATTGTTAACTCATTCACAAAAGTTCTCGGGGTACAATTTTATAGATACTATAAAAAAAAAATATATAGAGCCCATAGAAAATGTACACAAGAAAAATAGCATCGACCGTAGCCAAAACTGCTTGCAAGACCCTCAACCCCCCCCCTGGGGCATCGGCGATACCTGCAAAGGTAAGAAGCAAAGTTAGCAATCCGTATCAAAACAAGGCGATCAGCATCCCCCGCGTAGAACCTGTCCTCAATGGCAATCTACCTGGCTTACTGAAACCTAGCGAAGACTCCTTAGGGAAAGACGAGAGTCTGAGTAAAATAGTTAACGTGGTGCGCGCCGCCACGGCTCCGTTTGCGGATTTGGATGAAGTTATCGCCAGACCGCCAGGGACGGAGCTGCGCAGCGCCGAGACTTGCAAAGAAGCGTCCCTCCCGGTGCCAGGAACTCCTCGCATCACGTACCGGACCCTTGCGGCCTCGCTAGTATGCCCGAAGAAGTTCTACCTCTTTCAGCAGCGCCCGGACTTGCTGCCGGAGGTCTCGATTGGCGAGTCCGTCTTCTTAGACGACTCAGCCGGGTTCAACGAACTTGCTCGGCAGTGGGATCGTCTTCAATTCGGTAGCAAAGCGATCCTAATATCCGATAGCGGTCTTGTTGAGGCCGCCCAGCACACGGAGAAGGTCATTGTTGATTACTTCGAGACGACCCACGCCTCCTTAAAGGAGCAGGCGCCCTCCCTGACGATTCACCGACCCGCCTTTTTAGCGCCCTTTGGCGGTCCCCCCTCTGCGAACCCCTCCCATCCGCTGCTGCTTTGTGCGCGGCCCTTAGTCCTTCGCTACCGCCCCAAGGACAACCAGTGGGTGATCCTCGAGGCGCAGGCCGTGGTGGACCCCCTCGCCACCGCGGCCCGTGCGGGGCAGATCCTGCAGCGCCTCCATTTCTCCGCCCTCGCCTTCCTGCACAGCGTCACGCAGCCCCACATCCCGATCGCCCTGCGGAAGCGCTTCCTCGACTTCGACCCCGGCAGCCTCACGGCGGACCGCCTGAAGGGCAGCGCGCCGGCCTCCCAGGCCCCCGCGGTCCTCCCGATCGACCTCAAGCGGAGTGGCGTCCTGCACATCCGCCAGTTCTTCCCCGGGCCCGTCACCCTTCTGGACTGCGACCCGCCCCGCCTAGTGAAGTTCATCCAGCGCCTCTCCCTCGAGGAGCTCTTGCACGCGGACGGGCGGCCTCGACGCCGGCCCCCCACCTCCCACAACGGCAGCTCCACGACGGCCTTCGACCTCCCCCCCCTCACCCGCTTCGCGCCGGAGGTGCTGGCCGCCCACAAGGCTATGGAGGAGGCCCTGGAGCGGTCAGACCACCAGGGCTGCCCCCGAAGCCCCCGCAGCCTCCGCCGCCGCGAAACCACTGAGGTCGAGCTCTTTCAAACCCAGCAGCGCCTCATGCACGCGCTGCTGCGCCACCACACCCTCCCGCTCGTCAAGAAGTTTAACGACCCGGCGCAGGTGCGGCGTTGGGTGGCCTTCTCAAGCGAGGCCCCCGACGGCCTCGTTCGCCCTACCTACGCGGGTGGGGAGGAAAAGCCCCATGCCAAGGCCGAGGCCGACGACGCCAAACTTGGCAAGGGCAGGAAACAAGGTGCAGGCAAGAAAACCTCGGGAAAGGGCGTCGACCCAAAGGATCACGCGGCGGATGCGCCATGCGGGGCGTCCTCGCCAGTCATCCCCAGCATCCCTCACTACTCGAAGCATATCTCCGCCCTCTGCTCTCGGGGCGACACCTGCCCTTTTTTTGTAGAGGGGATGTGTCTGCCTCAGAAGGTCGCGAATCCGATCAAAGCGTGCGATAACCATCTCTTCACACTCCCTTCCACCTCAGTAGGGCGAAAGGCGGCGTGGTGGGGCGAGGGGTTGCGCACCATTCATGACGTGCTATACAAATATAAATCGGGTCATATCAAGCTCACGGCACCCCAACTGCGCTATGTTAAAACCGTCGCGGATGGTCATATTGCCATCAACACGAAGGAAATCGACAAATTCTTTGCCCAAATTCGCTACCCGACGTTTATCATCGACTTCGAGGCCTCCCAGTTCGCGCTGCCGCCGCATCAGAAGATCAACGCCTACACTCCCGTACCATTTCAATTCTCACTGGACGTCTTCCAGGAGGACATCCTCTCCGAGACGCCCACACACTACGACTTTCTGCATTTTGGCAAGGGTTATTCCCCAAATGAAGACCCGCGCCCGAGCCTTATCGCCGAGCTAATGCGTGTTGTCAAGCTGGAGCGAGAGCGAAAACGCAAAGCGATGGAGGCCTCTGGTGAAATAGGAAAAGACGAAAAAGAAACGGAAACCAAGGGCAGAGGGAAGCGGGGAGCTAAGAAAGCTCCCAAAATTACCAAAAACAATCCATTGGAAGAGCCCCTGACACCTTACGATGGATGCTTTATCGCACACTTTAGTTCCTTCGAGAAGTCCTGCCTAGAGAAGCTGGGACAGCTCGAAGAGCGCTTCAAAGAGGAAATTAAAAGCTTTTATTTCCTTGACACAATGGACCTCATTAAGAAAGGCTTTAGTCACCCCAACGCACATGGCTCGAACTCACTCAAAAAAGTGCTCCCTGCGCTATGTCCAGACTTCCAGTACGGTGTGTTTGGCAGTGAAGTAGGAGACGCCGATAATGAGGAGGGCGAACTACTAGTTCACAGTGAAGATGGGGCTCGGCAGGATGAGCAAAAGGGCGAAAACGCAATGGGTATCTTCCGGTTGTGGTATCATCAAGAAGGTGGTGGGACGATTCAGGATCTTAGGCGAGGCGCGGAAGCTCTACAACCTCTTAGAAATCACACCGGTATTAATGGATCGGGTAGCCATTCTGCAGACGATGCGCTCTCTCGAAGTTGTGTGCCGAAGGAGGTGCGCGAAAAGGTATGGAACCGTCTCCGCATTCAGCTTCTGGAATATTGCTCCCTCGATACAAAGGCATTGTATGAAATTATGCGTGAAATTTGGAACGAGAAGGAAGTTTCGAAGAATCTTCCGTCGCTTGATAAGTCGGGGTGGGTTTATGTAGCACCCACATCCAGAGAGGTATCATTCTGATCTGGCGAAGCTATGTACAGACAAATGAAATGGGATTCGAATTTTAAAACAAAAAATGATGAATCCTTCTTACTTCACGTTTGGAACATGATACAGTTTGTTTTATTCACCATCCTCAAGTATGGTTGTCCTTCTACCTTCCGAGTGTTTTCCCTTGCAGTTCAAAGTAGTCGAGTATCATGTGTAACATCTTTATCATGACAAAATAAGTTTTGTAAGGCATGATAAAATTATTATTTATACTTATTTTCTTTTTAGTAATTGGTTTGAACCTTTTGTTTTAACTCGCCTTCATAGACTACCTGTGGAACATTATGAAAGGTATATCAGAGAGGAGCGTGCGCAGCTTTTCTTTAATTCTGTTAAGTTTTCGAAGCAATACATCTCAAACTCCTTGCGTTATGTTGGAAATATAAATTCAATTAAAATAAAAAAATAGTGCATGTTATTTTTCCGACTTTCACATGCATGTGCACTACAATCATCGTAGCAACGTCCTAAATTTCCCTACCATTTTTTATGCATTGATTGATACAACACACACAAAAAAGTAAAAACTACCCTCAACCTAGGTTACTAAGCGGGGTGAAGGGGGGGGTGGGAATCAAAAAATGGAATCAATGCTCACTAGTTTAATGGTTTTGTGCGATGGATTTCAAAGTTCCATCAAAGGGGTTGAGTTTGCTGGGTTACCAGGAATGCTGTTGCGCCGGCATGAGGGGACCGAACTTGTCCTATTGCACGTTTGCGATAACAAAGAGGCACTGCATCGCAGCAATGATGCGGCCGTCAACGCAGCGGGTTCACATCCTCACGTGGGAGCGGCATCATCGGCCCTGTTAAGCTCGGACGAAATCGTGCAGCACGCGCTGGCAATGTGCACAAACGGTAGCAACAGTGGGTCGTTTATTAATATGACTAATTTAAGCTCCAATGCAGAGGCGCCAAACACGACCGACGAGCAAAATAAATCCATCAAGGAAAAGTCTCAGGTGTCACTCCCTAGCTTCCTGGTGATCTATAACACACTAACGGCTATTCAAAAAAACAAGGTGCTTGCGGGGAAGCTGAACTATAAACTGATGACCTCATTGCTTTCGGGAGCAGCTTCGTGGTTGCCCATTTCTGAAGATGAAGATGCTGAAGGAAAATGTGGGGCTGCGACGGCCGTTGCGACGTACGCTGCCACAAACGCACGGCAATACAACACGAACACGATTGTCCTGGGAGCTGGAAATATCCCTGAAGGTAAGACGTTGAGAGTGGGTGCCGTGGCAAAGCGGGTTCTGCAGCTCAAAAAGGACTTTTTCCTTTATTTCATGAAGGCAAACGGGTTAACACTGCGCGTGAGTACTGCACGGGTGTTCTACATGGTGCTCGTTCCTGTGATGGTGCAGGATGACGACAACGATGGAAAAGCTGAAGAGCAGCTTCAGGCCGGGGTGGATGCCGTGAACTACGCCCTCCAGCGGCGCCGCGCACAGGGCGATGGAGCGGCGCCAGAGAGTTTGCAACACTTCAAGGATGTCATCGCCGTGACACTGGTGGTAGAACCAGACGCTGACCCTTCGAAGACCGAGCAGTACAAGCAAACCTTTGAGGGTATATTAAACAGCGAGAACCTTCGAAGGATCGATCTGGAGAACGGCGTGAAGGAACAGAATGATACGGATGTAAAAAATAACGTCGAAGCGCGTGCTGGGGATACTCCTGAGGAGGAGGTTAATAAGATCCCTTCAACCGAGGTCATACCCATGGTATCTACTTGTATGCTAAAGCCCAGCAAGGCCAATCGACATCCTACCGTACGCAACGCCTCTGCGCAAGCTACGAAGTTTGCTTCTTCCTTCAAGCCGAGCTTTCTAGTAACAGCAAGTGTAGCCCCAGGCGAACTGCATCTTTGCATGTTGAAAGAACTAAAGTATCATTGTATAATTGTACCAAAACAAGTACAAAAGTAAGGTACATGAACTTACTATGTCTTCACTTGTATACTTTTGAGGGTGTGGGAAGGGTTTGTGTGATGATCAGGACGTGTGAAAGTTCATGCTTTCCGTTCCTTTGACAGAAACAAAGATATAGATCTAGAGATAATATATTATCGAGATTCAATAGGAATTGTTGTGTAGTGATATACATTCCTTTATTTCGTCCTAATTGTTATCCCTCCTTTGTTTGACGCACTAAAGTTTCCCCCACAACCCTTTTTTTATGTATAGAAAAACTATTCGATATATATTTATCTTAGACTCAGATGCCCCTGCGCCTTATGAATCATTTTCCCATTTGGGAAAATACTTTATTTTGAACCATCTACACTACATCATTCTACCTTTATCATTCAAGGCAACCCGTAGATCGTAGTTAAAATTTGATATCCATTAGAGTGGTGGACTTTAGGGAGCAAAAACAGCAGTGCCTCAGTAAGCAGCGTAACTCACTCAAGCCTTGTATATATTAAAATATATGCAGCATGCTGTGTACACATGAAAAAAAAATCATAAATCTGTTTAAGTTTCATTATGGAAAACTAAAGTTAACTTGTAAACGCTTCAGCGTTTTATGTGTGTATATTGTCTTATCGCTTTATTTTATGATTATTCATTATCGATTACTCTGAAGCCTGAAGTGAATACACTTGAAACTCTAATAAAGCTAATATATTATTTAGATTAAAAAAGGAAACATAAAACTAGTAAAACATTTTAAGAAATTCATACGCAAAAGGAAAGTAGGATGGTGGTAGTATCTGAAGTTGGAAATGGTATGGTGTTGTGCTCACCCCAGATGCAACGCGAGCAGCGACTTGAAGCAACTTCCCGTCGCTTTCCAATACCCCCTGCAGCGAAATACGCGGCGTATGATCATTCTGACAAAGACACAAAAATAAACGCTACAACTACACAAAATATCGCACACGCAGACTGCTCTGTACTGAACTCGAGACTAAATAACCACACGTTTGCCAGGCAAAAAATGTTTGCGAACTATAAGACAAATACCAGCTCAAATGCTACAGCAAGTAAAGTTATTCAGCGCCGCATCGAGAAAGGCCCCTTAATGACCTGTCCCAATACACCAAATCAAATTTATCGTCATACTCAAGTCATTCTTCCTGCAGATAAAACCTCTTCGAGAAAAGCAAGAATGTCTTCTTTGCTTCGCCTGGAAGAATCCAACCAAAAGGATGTATCAGCGAAGATAAATAATAACTCCATCAACGGAGCAACGCAAAGGGGCACTCGGCGAATTTTTGTCCAAAAAGAAATCACCTCAGTGATGATGGCGGCAAAACCACACAATCCTTCTAAGCCCCCTATGGAAGACTGCACAGATGCCCCGACCGAAATTTGTAAACCGGCGAAGAGCGCCAACAACAAGGACATCAAAGCGGCTATTCAGACACCCCATACTCCGTCTTTACAAAACATTCAGGATTTAAAAATCATGGAAGGGACCGCGGGAAAGGACGTGGCGGTGGTAATCCCAACCCAAAACTCTAACGACAAGGTTCACAGCGATAAGACTACAAACCGCGTAAATGCTGAGCCCGAAGACCGCCATGTGCCTATCATCCCACGCAACCATTCGGTTTCACTCGTCAACCAAACCACAAAGCCCTCCAAAGGAATTCCCACATATTCTTTACGGCGAAACCAAGCAGAATCGGTGACTCCGTCGTCTAAGGCCACCTCAAGCCGACGTCGACAATCGATGTTGAATACCATTCCCCATTACTCCGTCCAGTATCGTGGCGTTTTAAGAAGCGCTCGGTGGAACGATTTAAAGCGGAAACCGACAGGGGAAAAGACAAGGAATGATGAGGTCATACCGCAGGAACCTTCTTTATCCCAGGAGGCCTCGGACACCGGGAAGAATACCACGCGCCCATCACTGTTTTCGACACTAAAATTGAATTCCATCCCAAATATGTCAAATCTTGTGAAAACCGACTTTTGCGAAACGCAGTGCCCGATCCCAACCCATCAGCTGGAAAAGTTAAAACGCAAGTCAAAGCAGCGCAAGACGATGGTGGTGTTCTTGAGCAAGTACACGGCTATTCGAACAATCGGGAATGAGATGGGCTTTGCTGTGAAGGAAAGTGAGAACGACTTGGATGAATTTAAGTTTAACCTGTGCTGGAGTGATACGGTACTGAACCTCTCACGTCTTGTGCGGCTTGGCAACTGGCAGCGCTCGAACCACTTTCCATCGATGTTTTTGTTATGTCAAAAGTCACACCTGAGCACGACGCTCGGTCTTATGCGGCAAAAATTGCCAAACCACTTTCAATTCATCCCGAGCACCTGGTCCTTCCCTGCGGACCGGTGCAGCTTTTACCATTACTTCAGCAGCCTCATGCAGCGGGGGATCTCGAGGTATTTTATCGCCAAACCCAGTGTCGGCTCTCAAGGTCGCGGGATCATTGTCACCAATGATCCTTTGAACGATGTAGAGAACACAACGAACTATGTCGTGCAGGAATACATTCAAAGCCCTCTGCTCTTTGAAAAGCGAAAGTTTGATCTCCGGGTGTATGTGCTTCTCATAGGCATTCGAGAGCCTTCAATTTTTATGTTTAATGATGGTTTGGTGCGCATATGCACGGAAGAATATGAACCACCAACTGCCGCGAACTCTAAAGACTCGTTCAAGCACCTGACAAATTACGCAATAAATAAGCGCAACGTAAATTTTGTGTTCAACACTGATGTCTCTAAGGGGGACGTAGGAAACAAGCGCAACTTCAAGTTCATGAACAGTTGGCTAGAAAGCCAAGGATACTCGACATCTGATTTCTGGGACCGTGTGGGATCCCTTGTGGTCAAAACCATAATGTCCGCACAGCCAAAGATTTGCAGAGTGTACAATGCTTGTTTTCCTGCCTACAATGAAGGCTACACCTGCTTTGAGGTACTGGGGTTCGATGTATTGGTGGACTCCAAGCTAAAAGTGTGGCTGTTGGAGGTCAACCACACGCCATCCTTCGCTACGGACACCCCACTCGATCTGGATATCAAAAGCAGACTTCTGCGGGAAGTTTTGGATATTGTGGACTGCAGCGCGACCGACCATGAACACGACCGACGCCGTGAGCGCGAAGAATTTACTTACCGCAATATGTCACCATGGATTAAGAACCAAACTTATCACTCTCAGTGGAGTTACGCTTTGGACTTACTTCGCCAGAACGAAAATGATGGAAATAACGAAAGCAAAAATGTTGAAGCGTCTTCACCTAGTGTAAAGTCGATCTTCCAACGACAGGACAAGGATAATCTTGGCACCTCGACTTTCCATTCTGTTAGGTATAATTCGGAAAACGATTTGGAGCTGTTTACCGAACTTGTTCAACTGCACAGAAAGAAAGAAGATTCAAAGTTGGTTAACTTCAAGCGTATCTACCCCTCATCCGATCCTGATATTCAGAATGTCTATGACACCATACGCACGGTGGCAGCGGCAACCCTTACTATGAATGTTACGAGTGCAAATAAATACAATTCACACCGTGCCTATGTGGCATCGCAGGCAGCCAAACCCACACTCTCGAAACCATTTAACGCCCAACACCCATACGAACCACAACGTTTTATGCTTAATTCAAATGAAGGAGAAGAGGCAAGTAACCACAGCCCCAACGAAAGCATATCAACTCCCCAAGTCATCACTAACCACACAACTACTACATTTATGGACACCCAAACAATGCCCCCAAAGGCTATGCCGTATAATAAAGAAGCAATTCAACAAGAGGAGAATAACACACTGTTAGAAAACCCCCAAACAAGTGCACCGACGCCATACCAACTCATTGAAAAGCACCTTTCTGCTGAACCAGAGCACATCGAAATCGAGAATGAATATACAAACGAATGCAATACGAATGGTTTAGATAATAATATTATTTCCACTGACAACATTCCAACATCCACAGGTGCAGATGTCAATGCCCTGCATGTCCCGCCTCCAGACTTGCCGAATATTAACACAACAAAGACAGTTAACCTCGATCCTATACTTCATTTGGATGACAGCTTCAGTTCTTTATGCCTCGAACAAGAATTGGTACCCAGTGAAGATGTATTTATCCTAAACAAAGACGCATCCTCTATTCGGGAAGCTTTGGACTTAGTACCTTCTCAGTTTATGCGTCCATGCTCTTTGGCTGACGAAGTGCACATCAGTGATTACGTAACCTCGCAGAGCAGCGCCAGACGATGCACTTCGGAAGAGCAGATCAACTGCGAAAAATCATCAGTACACTTGCCAGAACAAGAGCCGAGCGTGAGGGCGCTCTATGAACTAAATACCCTTCAGTCGCCGCTTAATGATGATGATCCGAAAGCTCATACCAAATGCGAGAACTTAGATCTGGGTGATTGAAGAATTATATACGTACTTAGTTAATAAATTACAACTTTATTCTAAAAATAATCTGTATTTGAAAAAACGAATAGAAGGAAGCGATAGTGGTTTTACCTTTTTTTAACACCTTATTGCGATTTTTGCGTATATGTGTCTCCGCGCCTCCAGGTCATTTTTGGTCTTTCTTGAGTATGCGGGATAAATTGGGAATAAGGCTTCCTGAAATAATATCCTTTGTATTTCTTCACTTATCCTTGGTTTTGTCCTTTGCTAGATTGTACATTTAAAACGATGTCGGCAATAATGGCTACATTGTTATATGTATGTACATGTTACTCTATTTCAGATGGCATTACTTGTTTAATCAAATTTAACATGTTTGGAAAGGTAAAAATAATTTTTTCACTTGAAGTTTATAATAATTTATAAATGAATCACTTATAAAGTTTGGTATTCCTTTTCTCACGTATCTGGTAAATTTCGGTTTTAAACCAAGCAAGGCATCAGTTCCACATACTCACATAAATCCATATAGTACTAAACATTCCTTTTTATTTCATACTTGAAGGGAAATAAAACCGGACAGGATGCCACCAAAGCGCCGCATCGACGCCCCCACCGTTTCCTCCACCTTAAAGAAGAAAGATGCAACCTCGGCGCGATCCACGTCGGGGGCGGAAAGCGCCCGCAGGCCATCCACACGGAGTCCGTCCACCACGCGAACGCGAAGTGCAGAAGGAAGAGGAAAGAAAGGAAACACCACGGTGGAGGATGCCACGTTGGGTGTGGGAACACCGTCAAAGGAACCACTTCTACCGCTGCCGGTGCGTTCGAGCTCCTTTGCCCCGTCCTCGGCGCGCCGCTCGCTCATTTCACCACGTTTGCCGCGCTCGCAAACTCCGAGAAAGGCGATGCAGATGCTGCACCCCCCTGTAGGTGCCGTACCACCTGAAACAAGCGCCGATCCGGCCCATGAAGAAGCAAAAGGGAAACCCTGCCGCTCAACGATGGAGTCGGTTCTGGACAACACGTTAGAAGTGAGTACGGCAGACCTTTCCACTCCTGGTGGGAATACAGAGGGCGGACCAATCGGTGGGGAACTTGGCTCCCTCGCGGACTTACAAACGGAAAATGAACTTCACGTCATGGAACGCGATGACGACGCCAATGGTGAGGTGGATGGGGAATTTCAGACCAACAACGAGCTCGTGGACGAGATCATTTGGAGCGATGGAGACGATGATATGGACTTCCCTAATCCTGAAGATCTTCAAAAGCCAAATGACGATAACAATGTCATTCGCTTGGGGACCACACAGCAGTTGGAGGAGACCGATAGCAGCGAGGATGAGATGATACTTAATCGCGTTGGCGACATTCCCCTTGTATGGTACAAAGATGAAAAGCACATTGGCTATGATATAGAGGGCAAGAAACTTATGAAGAGTGAGCGCTCCGCGCTGGAGCAACTCCTCGAGGCCACTGACGATCCTAATGCAATGCGCACCATCCACGACGTCCTGCATGATGAAAAGAAAGTACTGACGAACGCCGACCTGCAGATGATCTTCAATTTGCAGCGCAATCGCACCACCAACTCGAATTATGACATGTACAGCGAGGTGCAAGAGGATACCGTGAAGTTCGACCCACTCAATCACCCGCTCGCCCGCAACACCGGCCCGTCGAAGTTGAAGTTTGTGCCGGCCTTACATGAGATGAAGGTGATTGCGAAGATGGTGCGTCGTCTGCAAAAAGAACAGGAGGAGCGGAAGCACAAAGCCCTATCTGACGATGACGACGACAACGACACGAAGGTGCTGTGGGAGGCCGATAACACAGTGCGGATGGACACCCACACCCGCTTCAAGTACTACAACCGGATCGAAAAGCCCAAAGTCCCCCCGCCAGGGACCTACGAGAGCTACCGCCCCCCGCCGGAGTACCTCCCGAGCGTGAAGGCCCAACAGCGACAGCTGCGCCTTCGCGCGATTGACCGGAAGTCGCCCTTCCTGGCGCAGTCCTTTGACGCCCTGCGACACGTCCCGTTCTACGCTCATACCATACAAGACCGCTACCAGCGCTGTGTCGACCTTGCCTGCTTCCCCCGTGCCCAGCGCACCCGTCTGGCGGTGGACCCCCGGCTCCTCCTGCCGGCCCTGCCCGACCCGCGGGGGTTGCGGCCCTACCCCGAGCGCCTTTCCTTCCGTTACAACGGGCACACCGCGACGGTGCGTGGCCTGGCGCTGAGCCCGAACGGGCAGTACCTCGCCACCGGCTGCGACGACCACCTCGTGCGGGTGTACGAGGTCCACACGGGGCGGCTGATGAAGCGCTACGACCTCGGCGCCCCGATCCAGCAGGTCGGGTTCTGCCCTACTTCTAGCCTTAACCTCCTCGCCGTCGCGGTGGAGTTTAGCTTGGTTTTGATCATCCCTACCTTCGCCGCGCACGCGCTGGTGAATGAACATACCGTGCGGTACCTCCGGGCCCCCGGTCACGCCGCGGGGATGGAGGGGGACTCCCACCTAGTGGGCGGCAGCGGGACGCTCGGGGGGCATGGAATCACCCAAAGTGCCATGGACGACGACGAGGTCGCGCACGAATCCACGCTCGACCTGCACGACATCGAGGAGAAGGAAAAACGCGCGGAGTTCCTCAACGCCTCGACAAAGGAGCGACAGGCAGGTATTCTCGTCAAGGTGGCCATGCACGCGAAGATTAAAAAATTTACTTTCCATGCCCGAGGCGACTACCTCTGTGTTCTCTGTCCAAAAGATCACGTTAAATATCGCCAGACTATTATGCTTCAACTGAGCAAACGTAAAGTCTTCTGTCCCTTCCGAAAGTTCTCGGAGGTCGTCACGGACTGTCAATTCCACCCCCTCGAGCCGATCTTCTTCCTCTCCACCACTAATTCCATCCGTTGTTATAACCTAATCGCACATAAGCTCCAGCGCCGCTATAAGGCCCCTGGAGGTATCACGACAAGTCTATCCATCCATCCAGAGGGGGATAACTTCCTTGTCGGTGACACCACAAGCCACGTATCATGGTACGACTGCGACTTTTCTGATAAGCCGTATAAACGTATGCGCTCGCACAAAGGGGTTGTCAACTCGGTTGCCTTCCATTCAAACACCAAGGCCTACCCTCTCTTTGCTTCGGGGGCATCCGACGGCCAGGTGCACATCTTCCACGGCATGGTCTATGACGACTACAATAAAAATGCTCTGGTTGTCCCTGTTAAAATTCTGAACCACCGTCGACCGGTATACTCGGTAGCATGGCACCCCACGTTGCCCTGGATTTTCACATCCACTGAAGATGGAATCGTCTCAGCATGGACGGAATAAGCACTAAAAAGCAACCTAAGTGAAAGAATATATCGACGGTAAGTGTACGGCAAGAACTTTAAAAAAATCAAGAGACTCAAAACACATCTGTCATTATATCATGAACCTCAGATGATAGGCATGAAAAACCGCTAGACTTCATTCATAGGCACTTGGAAAGGAAAATATAACATGGCTGGGATCGAGGGTAGAAAAGTGGGTATCATAACGATATCCTGTTCTAACAAATATCACAGTAAGTGGGGTGTAAATTTTTTAAAAAAGTGATTCATTTCTTGCACCTGTTCATCTTGCTATAAAAGAGGATAGGGTACTTTTTTTTCTACATTAAGTAGTAAAAAAAAGTATATACACAATGAGTTCAATAGGTGTGAATTGAGTACATGGATATACTTGGAAGAGTTAAATTTAAATTATTATAATACGGCTAATTAAGCATAAATTGTGTTTATTTGTGTGCATCTTTTCTAAATTAAACTTTGGAAAAGAGATCAGTGATGGCATCCATTAAAAAAAAAAGGCACAACTGACAGAACAAAAGGTATGACTGTTATTTTTGTCAGAATTATCCCTCTCTATTTCAAACGCTTGTAAAAACCTAAATATATGAACAATACAAAGTGACTATTGCTCAGATACATACATATCAAAGGGTTGACCTTTTTTTAAAAAAAAGGTCACTAATAAGGCCTCCCATCCTGTCAATGGGCATATAAAAGGGGAATAAATAGATACATCGACACAGACCTCAAAGATTTCGTAAGCCTAAAGTCCAGTATTCCTCATGCCTGTGGACCTTGGCAAAAGCCTTGCAGCCGTCGCGGTCTGTGGCTGCGGACATGATGGCCGTCTGGGTTTAGGTAATTTTGACAGCACGGGGGAAATAAAACTCATCGGTGATTTCCTCCCCAACGGCGGGAAAAAGACGCCGGACGTGCAGTCTGCACCGTGTGGGGAAGTGCTCCGCATCCATTGCGGGGGCTACCACACGATCGTCCTAACCACCCGTGGGGTCTACGGCTGGGGAATGCACGACTGCGGCCAGCTAGGCCTTGGGTGGAGGTGTGGTCCTGCTGCGGAAAATGCCTTTTTCAGTCGTCCTACACGCCTGGAGTTTTTTGATGCCATGGGGTGGAACTCAAAGGAGAAAGAGAACTCCGAGGAGGGGGCAGGGACAGGAGCTCAGGAGCACATTCTTCAAGTGGCTTGCGGCGCGTTGCACTCGATGGTGTTGACGAACCGTGCGTTGTATGCATGTGGCAGAAATGAGTTTGGTCAGTTGGGTCTTGGACATGACGAGGAAAACGTAAGTGGGTGGACTCAAGTTTGCTCCCATAGGAGTAGTAATTTTTCCGCTTACTGTGATGAGGGAGTCCTGGATAATAACATGAGCCTGATTCTGCCCTTCGGTAGGGACTCTTCAATTATTCAGGGTGTTATTACAGATGTGAGCTGTGGGACACATCATACGCTACTCGCTTGGCGTGATGTGGTGATTGTACGACATGATGACAACGGGGGGATGAACGAGACAAGTAATGTGAGCTCTACGCAGAGGATGCGACACGACCGTGATAAGTCACCACGCCGTTATTTCTACTACCCAACCCTTTTAATGGCCGCTGGTAAGGGTGACTACGGTGAGTTGGGCTACGACCCGGATCTGTATGCAGCCCTGCGTTCCAGAGACAAACATGTGCAAGGCACTTTGTGGAGGGAAGCCACAGCACGACAGGAACAGCTCCATATGAACGATTCACAACATAAACTTGGGGAATTGAATGCCCAAGAAAGTACCTGTCTGGATCCCACTCTCATACCAAATAAAATATCAAATAAAAATCCATGTGCAGGTTGGTTACGAAAACAGAAGCGTCGGCAACGGAGACAAGAGTTTTACTCGACAAATTTTAGGGCTGTAAACTTTGAACTCTTGGAAAGGTGTGGAGTGGCTTTACAGACAGAGCGATTCCTTCAAAATGACATGTCCATCTCTGACAACGCCCTCAAAGAGGGTAACTTGAGTAATTGCCTTGAGAGTATGGATATGCCTTCAGACCTATTGGAAGTTGTACAGCTGCAGGCGATGCATCTCCATTCTAGTGTTACGCTGAGGAAGCGCGTTATCTCCACGGAAGCCGGGAGTTATATCACTGATACCCATCATTGCGATTTCGAGGATATGCAAACCTATCATTGGGGATGCTATTTCTGCGGTGAAATTGAAGGAATCGAAACTTCTGTGCCGCGTCTGCTGGATGGAAAAGCGGGTACAACGATTCACGCGGGGTCTGAAATAATGTTTCGGCATCGCCTAGAGGATTCCATGGGCCCCCCATGCACGGTTGAAAAGTGTGAGTCTCTGGGTGATTCCCCTCCTCAAGGGCAGTTGAACGCTCTTGAAGAGGTGTTCGTACTGGGGCAGGGTGTACTTGGCTTGGGTTCAGACGACACACTTCAAAGGATCTGGGCACCCATCCCGGGGACGGCGCACCTAGCAGCAAAAATTTCTGGGCGTACACATTTCTTAATGCTCTTGAGAGGCTGTGGATTGACTTTGGGCGCAACCGATTCGTGTAATGATTGTATACTCGGATTCGGTGATAACATGAACGGTCAAATTGGTTGGGCGTATGATCACCAAAATGCCAAAGGTAATTCTCAAAACAGTTATTCAGGTAGTGGAGTTGGAGAGGACAACGTGGAAGTCCTTTCCCCGCGGCATGTGCTGAAAGTCGGTGATCTTCTATTAGCGGTACCCTCTACGTCACCCAAGCAACCGAAGGAAGATCACTTGCCAAGTGGACGAGAAAATGTAAATCAGTGCTTATGTGTAGATTCCGAGCCTTATGGGTGGATAGTCGACCAAATCATAGACGTTGGCGCTGGAGCTCGACATTCCGTATTTTTTCTATATGTGCATTTAGAAAAAAGATCAAGGTCAATTGAGAAAGGATAAGAAAAAACTCTGAAATGAAAAATAGCACGAAATAGATGAGCAAACCAAACGATGAGATTTTTAGAAGCACTAACTCAGAACCATTTTCCTCTCTTCACATATATCACCAACTTGATGGCTTACCAATAGATACTCTTTAATATTTATTGACATTCTAAAAAAGAATGATAAATATTAATATGCGAGGTCATTGGGTAGGTAATGAATGTTATGTCAAGAAAATTCATATATTATCCTATCTAACAACATGAATTAATTTGCTATCTAGTCTCTTCACCGACAACGTCGCTATAACTATCTCTACCTGCTTTTCTCTACTAATTTTACCACACTACACACATGCACAGCAAAATAATATTGAAAAAAAAAGGAAGATCTGTTCAAATGAGATTCTGTGGACTAAGGAAGCGTTTAGTGTTAGCTTTCTTTCTTGATTATGCTGAAATGAGATCTCTCCGACCGGCACCATACCATTCGTTAACGACACACCTTCGATGTGATATTTCCTTCCGCAGAACAGCATATTTCAAAAGATTAGGCTTGAATCCGAAATTGTGTGATACGATATGTTCTGATATTAGTTCGGGTTCATGGCCTGTGAGAGCATTGCTTACTACAAGTAAAGGTGTATTCACATCCACACTTCTTCGTCAAGAACTTTCCAAGACCGATAGCAAGCCAGGTCCTTCGGCCTCACCATCCCCATCCTCTTTGGCCTCCACAATCTCTCCAAACCTCCAAAACGAAGTCGCGGAGGAGTTGATCGAGGAGCTCAAACTCATCTTTATCCGGTTCCCAAAGGATACCTGGCTGCCCATCAGCGACATCTACAACGAAATTTCAATCAAGATGCGAAAGGAGTTTGTCCGACCGCACCGCACCCTTTACCAGGTCCTGCTAAAAGCACAGTCGAGACTGCAGATCCATTTGGACCCGACAGGTATTTCCTGCGCACACGGAAACCTCCCATTAGAGACGCCTGCGAAGAAGACCAATCCCAGTGCTGAAGTCAACAAGACCAGTCCTCCCCCAACCAAAGAACCCCCCGAAGAAGAAAAAAAGATCCCTCAGACGCATCCGCCGCCGCTTCCTGACCCGCTGCCGGCCACCGCCACCATGAATACTCTAATGGGGAGCCTTCACGTGGACTTTTACTACAACGTCGGCCTCAGGGAAATCCCCCCACCACCGGCGGACTTTAACGTGACCCCTTCTTCCCTACAGAAAGCGCAGTCTACCGAAGATGGGGCCGTGCTTTCCCTGCGCGATTTCGTCCCCTTCATCCCGCCCTTTTTCGTCCCGCTCGACGAGGTGCTGCGGCATATTGTGGGGTACACCGAGGAGCACATTCTCAGCTACCTCAACATGAAAGCGATGGAAATGGTGCAGATCGCAGGGGAAAAGTATATTCGGCTGTACGGCGGCTACGCGAATATCTCTCTGGAGGGCTGTGAAAGCGCTGAGGAGGTCTTCAAAAAGTACAAACCCAAGTTGGAGCTCCTCTCTGCTTTCGTAAAAGCCTTTGATGGGATTTACGATAAATGGATGCCACTTAAAATGCTCCTGCACAAGGCCGACCCCGTGGCAGTGGCGCAGTTAAATCCTAAAGGCCCTGCCTCGATTGTTTACTTTGCTCAGATGCAGCACGTCTTTAGTTTTTCAGTCGTTGGTGGCCGAAGCGACGACGCGGAGGACGAACTTTCTTCATCGGTGCTGCTGCGGAAGCAGCCCTACACCGGACTTACATATGAGACGACGCCAACCCCAAAGAGTTTGAATTTTATCCTTCAACGTGTGCCTATTGAAGGAAGTTTGGATATTCACATAATACAAAATCAACTCCCGTTATCTTTACAAAAAGAAATTGACTCATACTACGGCAATCTTATCAGCTTTTTCAACGCACATGTCTCAAATTTCTTTCTCATGGAAAACAACACGGTGGTGATGCGGACCAGATACCGGAACCGCATGCAGATGGCCTCTCTTCCACTTGAAGAACAACTCAAAATTGCCTACAACAATAGGGATAAGAAAAAGATACGGTCTATTCGCAGACGTATTGCGTTTCGCGACAACCCCTCCCACCCATTCCACGACCCCGACAACTTAGTTCGCGAGCTGGCTAAGTATTTGCCACATCGCGGCTTTGTCACATTGAAGTCGTTTCTACGTACGAATATCCCGGATGAGATACTTTTCTTCATGCCCTCAAAAATAAACAATTTTTTCGCTAATTATCCACAGTACTTTCAGCATTTTGAGTACCAAATCCCTGGTACGTGGTGCATTAGCCGTCCAGGGCAACCATTGCCACGCGGCGTCATTCGCCAGCAATTTTCAGAGGATGATCTTTTGCGGCTCGTTGGAGAATATGTGCAGCGCAATAGTTCACCAAGGTCCTGTTCATGTATTTATCTGAATATGCCACACGGTGCACAAGAGGTTATCCGGAAGCGGCATGGCGGTTTATATTACTTTATCAAGAAATACCCACAGTACTTCAATATTGTTCTTGGCTCGGATACGGGGAACATGAAAAGCGCTGCGATAGTGCATCTGGTCTCGCCCCCGCCTACTCAAAACAGAGAGGAGGCAGCTGGAGAGTCCATGTATGAACTAAGTAATAGTGAACATAATTATGATGAAGGTCATAGTAACGATAATGAGAAGTTTGACCACGATCTCTGAAAAAAAAATCTGATTTGATGATATGTTTCTAAGCTTCCGGTACTACTCTTCGTTTTCGGTTCAGATTCTGGGTTAAATAAAAATGGCAATACTAGTGGTCGCACAATTCATGAGAAGAAAAAAAAGACCAATCAACGTCTGTGATGAATAAAAGATTTATTCAAAACATGAAAAGAGGAATTCTCATTCATCAAAAAAAAACTTACAAATGATACATTACATTCGGTTTAATATTTTTCACACTGCCTTTATACAAGCAAATATTAGAGTTGAATTACGTATAGATTGTTACTGTGAGGTCAGAGGAGGAGACAATTAAAGTTTCGTCCGCGTGAATTCAGTGCCACTATAGAATAGAACATAATATCATAATCAAAAGAGATATATCATTCCTGGCATTTCATGCAACTCGACCTTAGCCGCCACACCTTGGATACGTTCGATGTTTGCAAACATCTGACTTCGTATGCTGCTGCGAACCATCTCGACGATGCCTCGTGCACCCTGGCGGCGATGCAAATCACGCACCTTGATTTATCTTTTAACGCATTGCATGTTGTCTCAGGTTTAAAGCACTTGCCACATCTCAGAGTCCTGAACCTGTCGCACAATTTATTGTCCTCGCTTGAAGATGAGCTGCCGCCGAGACTTTCAAATTTGAATATATCATATAATAAACTATCAACCTTGCGATCCGGGGCACTGCAGCCTTTACAGAAGCTGCAAACGCTCGATATCTCCTTTAATTGCTTGAAAGATCTCCATGGTTTTCCGGAAGCACCTGACGCATTACGAGTTTTAAACGTCTGTGGTAATCAATTAACAACCCTCTCAGACATAATGCAATGCATTCGCTTAGAAGAGCTATACGCAAATAAAAACGCTCTAAAAGAAGCAAACGATCTATCCGTGCTCGAAATCCTCACACAATTGCGCGTTTTCACGCTCTCAGAGAACCCTATCCTGCTGTTTCCAAAGAAGGTGCAAGCCATTCACCTGCTGCTGCCACCAGATCTAGAGCAAATGGACGTTCCGCCTATGAATGTGTTGGACAGTGTAAATCGCTCTTCTCGTTCAACTTCAACTGCAGTAGCCTCCGTGAAGTGTGAAAACGATGAGGTGGTCATCGATAATGAAGCCAGTGAGATCGTGGAGGTGTTGATGTCGATACCTAGCGCACAACAAGAGGTTCAGCCTCATACTTTCTTTAACACCCAGCCCTATTCGCTGCAGCAGCCGCACGACATTGCAAGCATCGAGGCTGACGAAGTTCACGCAAATGGTTCTTCTAGAGCGTCGATGGGCTTACCTTCCCCGTCCCGTTCTCACGAGTGCGGGGGAAATATTCAACCGGGCTGCCAGAGCCCGCACGAAAAAGAAACTCGAGGGCCACCTCCAGACTTGCAGGGGTCTCTACCAGTGGAGGAAGCATGGCAACTTGTTCACAAACAGGTCATGGTCGAGCGCGAGGCCTACCGACTGCAAGTCGAGGCTATGCAAAAGAAAGTCCATGACCTTACACAGCTCCTTGAGGAACAACGCGAGGCCACATTTGCGATGCTACGCATCAACGAACAGTTAGGAAAACGCTTGCTACCTACCCTAGCAAAGGGAGGGCGTCGTGATGTGGGAATACAATGTAATGCCCCGCACAAGGTGAATGTGGTCTCCATCACAGAGAACGCCGATTCCATGAAGAGGCTTGATGGCAATCCGCCAAAACGCTATCACGCGGCCTCCCCACGCCTGGCATCTCCACGCACCCGTCCAGAGGCGCCCGCGATGCCCAACTCCCCCCTTCGCATCCCACCCCTTGCACCCCGACCCCTCACAGCGGCGTCGACGTCTGGGGGCAATTCGCCCAAAGAGGACAACTCAAATGGCTCGATGCCTCGGCGGCAGCCGCGTTCGCAATCAGCCTTGGAAGCTCCTCACAATGGCTCTCTCCGGCATCCCACCATACCTTCGAGGCGCATTATGTCCCCTTCCCCAACGTCGCCTGTAATACACAACGACGCGCAGATGGTAGGACGCGACCAACCTCCGACGCACGGAAGCCTGAACCAACGGGCCGGGCCGAATGACTTGAAAATCAGCCGCAAAGTATCGACAGGGACGCACCCGGCAGAGCCTAAAAGAAATACACGAGAAGTGGCTACCGCACTCATGTCCCTCTTGCGCCATCCAGATGCATATTCCGATAAATTCCGTTAGTGGCAGAGACGGTATGGGGTGGTCTCTTCTGCTCTCCTTCAGCTATACATTAACCGTGTTCCGTGGATAGTTTTTTAGGGAAAGAGTAAACCTGCAGCTTCCTTCTGTATGGTTGCTTTCCCTAAAGTGTTTGCAAACGGACGTGGTGAGTACTCTTTTTCTAGTACTCCACATAAGACCATGTGTTTAGGATATTTGCTCTATTTTTCCTTATATTATCTATATATATATAAAAAAGACATCATAGAAGAAGAAAAAAGATAGAATAGTAACTTCTACTATTTATAACCTAGAAAATAGAACACATAGACATTATCAAACACTTTTTATCATTTTATAGAATTACTCATCTAAATTCACATACACGGTAAAAAAGCAAGTCACTTTTACATATAGAAAAGTTTATTAAGATAAGACTAGCGAGACACATATTCCCTCACGGGCGTGAATTTTTAAGATGCTCTGTTTTTTTAGATTGCTTCGTTCCTCTCTACCTTTTGAGCCCATGGCGCTCACGACACTAGATAGTCTGCATTCTCGACTCAGAACTCTAAAGTCAAAAAGCGAAATGGAAAGACCCACCGACGCTCATCAAGCAGAGTCGCAGAAAGGGAACGACGTGACTCATCCCCACTTGCACGACTCACCGCACTGGTTTCAGACTTCTTCACCCTTCTTTATTTCTCCCAAGCACGATGGGGTGCGTATGATCACCTTCCCGCCCCAGCTCTCCAGCACCTGCAGCAAGCGTTGTGAAATTAATGAGGCGAAAACTCGTAAATCACGATCAGGATCCACAGAAAACCCGAACTTCACGGCGACGACCTGTTTTTCGCGATACGGAAGGCCTATTTACGGCATGTTTTGGATTGAAAAAGAACTAGCGTTGTTGCGAGCGCTTTGTGGTGATCCGTTGTTGGTGTTGGACGGTGAATTGTACATTCATCAAAACGTATCCGATGTGCGAATAAATAGTCAAACCGAGGAATCGTCATCACCAGCTGAGAACGATCCGCCTAAAAAACGTTCACACCAAACCCAAAAGGGACGAAAAAATGGAGTCCCCTCAATTCCCCCGTGCGAGCCCCAAGATGCAAAACGGACGCCAGGGAGGGATGCCTTCAAGACGGGTTTTTTAGCGGTATCCGCGCTCGTGCACCGGCTTCGCGGGTCGGGCAAGACATGTCTTTTTCGCGGTGGAATTAGCCCCAAACCATCGATTTCAGACGGCTTAAAAGAGGTACTTCAGTACGTCAGCACGCTGCCAAGATACTGCCTCTTTGATGTTGTTTCTTTCAGTCCATGCCAGACCCTGGTAGGGGGGCCTGGGGATGAAAAACACGCGCAAACTATTGAGGAGGGGCGACAAAGGGAAAGTGCCGCGAATCGGCAGATTTTGAGCGAATTGCGGCGCATCCTCCATCTCACGTTGGAGGCGCACAAGGTGGCGGATGCGGAGATGCTGCGATGCATTCCGAACGTCACCCCGTTCTCCCAGCGCGTGCGCACGCTCTACTTTTTGACGGATTTGCTTTCCCGCGGGCTGAGCTCGCCCATGCTTATAGAAGCCTTTGACTTGGTGAATGGTATTGCGGAAGAGGAAAGCGCTAGCGGGGGGGGACTGGGGGTCAAAAAACGCACTCGGTATGACAATTCCAACAGTTGTGGAAGAAGGTCGTATATTCAAATGATTCCATACCGCCTGGTTCGATCCTTGGACGAGGCGGAGCACTCTTTATTGCCTCGCTATGTGGCGCAAGGCTACGAGGGCGCGGTGATTCGAACACCGACAAATTTGTACGAATTTCACGAAAAGCGCAAGGGCGTGCTGAAGCACTTCATTGAACCTTTACTCTTGGAAAAGTCTAGTAATGGCAAGCGGGCAAGGCCGCGACGACGAGCTTCCGCGGTTAATATGAGTTCACCCCCATCACGGCGGGCTGCATCGGTCCATCAGGATATCGTGAATACACAGGCCATGGTTCTGCTTCGCACGTACGCGGGGGATGAGGTAAATAACGGACACCGCCGCGCCTCCCGTCATGGCGAGATCGCGGAAAACGAAACCCACGAAAATAATGAAGCGGACGAACCAGCCGCCAGGAATCCCGGTGAGGAGGATATTGATGCTAGCTCGCAGCAGATCGCGCGGCTCGCACTCGAGCGCTCGAAGAATCTCTCACGACGCTGCGAGACGTGTGTGAAGCTCTTACCCTTTCGAGACAAGGAGTACGCGGTGTTGCGGCCCCTCTTAAAGTTCCCTTCAACAAACCCGCGTACACGGCCCTTAGTGGCAATCCCATTAAAGGAAATTGAGTCCCTAGAGGGTCTTAAAGAAGTAACCATTAAAAGGAATTCAGGCATAAAGGAAAAGGGTGCATCTACACATGATCCTTGCAGCAACGATGAGGGGGTAGTGGTATTTTATGGCCTTAAATGTTTGGCAGAGAACGGCCGTGTGTTTAACGTGTCCATCCCAAAGATGTCAACGGAAAAGCAGCGCGCACTTCTTCAACATCTCCTGGAAGCTTCTCGGAAGAGGCAAGGTAAAAAGACGCTTACAGGGATGTACGTCACGGTGAAGTTCGCATCGCTCACGGAACATGGGATTCCCCGCTTCGGCACAGTCAAGGCCATCCGTGGTGGTAAAGGGTGGTTTCTATGAACATTTATTTACATATATGGATATTATAGATCAATAGAAAGCAAGTGAAATTTTAAAGGTTTAACGCAATGGTAGCCCAATGAAGAGGTGAAATGTACACACTGTATAGGGACCTGATAGATGCGGTTGCACAAACTCAAGCTTGCTGTTTATCTTGTTTCCTCCTACACACAAAATGTAATCCTTTACAAGGAATAAAAAAGCGGAAATAGTAAAAAAAAAAAGTTGTAAATTCAGCTTCACTACAGGCAATTATTCTTCCTGATATCTCCTTTAAAGGATATCAAAACGAATCAGCAATGCTGTCTAGTCATGACAGTTCAAGACTCACTACCGCCAGATCTTCACGGCAAGCGATCAACGGTAACGCCCCGTTGCTGGGCAACACGTCCATTAAGGACTGGCTTCAGCCTCGTCTGCTCAACCTAACGATGCAGTTGATGTATTACCAACCTGTGGAGCCTGTTCACGTGCTTGCTAAGAACTTGTATAACGAATACGTCCTTTTAACCGCGACGGATTTATCGGCACGTCTGAAAAATAAGGTCAATTTACAAAAGCCTAAAACACCTTTCAGTGTCGACTCCAGAGCGCGGAGCCCGATGCCCATGTTAAGCCCAGCTTTTGGAAGCGATGGAGCTGATAAGAATCTGGATTGGGGTACGACAACCTCCCACGCTCTCATACCCTATGGGGTGGAGGCCTTATCCTGCTATTTCATGCCTCAGACTAATTGGCAGGCGTCTAACAAAGTAAAGAATATGTTAGCGACCATTATTGCCTTACTTCACCAGCAAGGCCGATATTTTATTCATGGAAAGAGCGTCATGGGAGCTACATTGCACAAGGTGCACTCGCCGAGTTGCCTCGTGACGCCGTTATGCTACGAAACGGTTGATGCAGTGCCGCTTGCGTTAGTCGTGCGCTACCTCATAGCGCTGGGTGAACAAGAACTATGTGATATAGTCCCTGGGATGGTCGATGAGCTTGTCCTGTTAGCTTTGCTCATGGCGTGGCGAACGCTAAAGCCAGTGCAACCCTGCGCATCCCCCCTGGAGGATTACTCTGAGGATGGGGAGGTATCTATGGAGGTGTTATGCAGTAAGTTAGTTTTGTTCTCACCCAGACTTCGTTTGCTGCCTGCATCCCATCTGTGCCTTCTCTCTGCATACCTTAGGGAGACCATCCAGCACCACCTTCCCTTTAGAACATTATCTGACGTCCCGTTATCGGGTACTGCGGTGTCAGGAATACAGTCGGACTCCCAAAATGCTATCAAAAAAAAAGCACCTATGGAGGCAGGACGCCAAGCAAAATGTGCCGATCCCTTTCAACTCAATCTTCAGTATCAAGTAAAAAGTCCATTTTGTCGAGCGCAACAAACTCAGCCGCAAACGAAAGATTTGATAAGATGAAGGTAGAAATAGAGGATTTGGTAAAAAGCAGCGCCGCGGCGACAGACCAAATGTCGGATATCGTCAATATCACCGTGTCCGCGGAGGCGGCGGAGCATATGCTGCATGTGGTGTCGATTCTTTTGTCGGCTATTGTTCAGGTGGGTGTTCCCATCGTGGGATTACTCACATTTCACGACCCCGGGTCCTGGACACATGCCCTGCAATCTCGGTGCACAAGATGGTTCATTGATGGATTAGTTGAAAGTGAAAGCAAAGATGAAGATAATGAAAATCCAAATGATAAGAATAGAATACCACACACAGATGTGGCCTATCGAAAGCTGATGCAGGACCTGGTCCTCATTGTAAAGTCAGTTGTCGCACCACACAGTGAAAAGGCTTCGGATCCGACAGCTGAGCATTGCATGCGCAGCTCGCTTGCAAATGTGTTGGAAAAGTGGCTGTCGACAATCACCAAAGACGTTCTAGCGAATAAGAATGTGGAAAGTGTGCCAAATTTGTGGAGCAAAGTGTTGCTATGGGTAACAGAACTTGTAGAAGTATGTGTTTACACTCATGAGAAATCTAAATAATTCGTTTACAGTAATTGTCGGGATTATTTGACCTCTCTAAAAAAAAAGGAAATGGAAATGAATACAGATTGTCCGAAAGAGACTTGGGGACTATCGAAGGACTCATTGTTGTTTTTTGTTTTTTCTGCTGTATTCCACCAAACTTTTCCTCCCTCTTCCTCTCCCTCATCTGTTTGGTTATCGCGACATCCTATTAAAAATCCCCAAGGACAAGAAAAAAGCAGACAAATAAACGGTTGTGCACGGATTACATTGGGTGATGGGGAAGAATTCAGCCTTTGTGAAGGCTCACACGCAGGACTTGCGCCGCCGAAGAGCCCAACGCTCGCAACGCTCCAAAGTCGAGCGTGGCAAACGTCTTGCCCAGGGCGACAGGCGAATTCAGCGTGTCGCCAAGCAGTGGGCCCTCCCCACCGAAGAGAACACGTCCCTGCTGTTGACCCAATTCACGCAGGCCTGTCGACTTCCCAACACCAGCGCCGGTCTCTGCGCCCTCATTCGGCATTACGCTGGAACGGACGAGAAGGCCCCTTTGAGAGCACTCGAGCCTCTGACGCAGATGGCGGAGATGCTGCTCCAGGCGCAGGACGTCCCCATGGACGACCTCGGCGAGGAGGAGGATAAACCCGCCGGGGCGCTGTCCACCGAGACGGTCTTGCAGGACATTTTGCAGACCGAGTGCGGTGGTCGCGTGGTCACGATGCTCCTCTCCGCCCTCCAATCCACGGAAATTGGAAAGAGCGTCGCCAAGGCGATTCTCGAGCAGTTCGAGGCCACTGAGGCCCTCGTGACGCATCATGTCGCCTGTAGAGTTCTGACCGCGCTAGTGCAGTGGGGGCCGATGGAAGTGAAGTGTGGGGTCCTGGAGATGCTTCGCGAGCGGGGTGGCATCGAGAGTGCCTTCGACCTTCTTGTGGATCGCCACACCGCGACAACCATTGTGCAACTTCTTGAACACCTACCCATGGAAACGAGTGTGTGGTTGGTTGAGGAACTCGGCCTGAGTGAAGAAGGATTTGTTGATACCAAGGCTTCGATGAATGCGACATCTTGTAAGGGGAAAGAAAATGAGGAATTCGCTGAAGTCGATAAAGATGAAAGTCAGGAGAGATTTCGAAACCTCATCGAGCACCCGGTCTCGTGGCGCATCCTTGCTCAGCTTGCTATTAATATGCCTATTGAGAAACGTTTACGTTTTCTCGACATGATCAGCTTTGCTGAGCTTTGTCAAACAAAGCGAGGGACCCGCTTTCTTGGGACGCTCATTAGCGCGGACTCAAGCACTGAAAAGAATATCACGAGCACTGCGTCAGCAGCCATCATGCAGGTGTTGGGAAAGATAGTCGAAGAATCAGCTTCTCTCATACAGGATATGAGTATAAGCCCTTATGGAAACTTCCTAGTACAGAAATTGATCCAGGTCGTTCTCCTTGTGCGCGGCGATAACGACAAAAATGCATTAGAGCTGTTTTCGCGTATTGTGCATGTTCTTACCCACAATGGGGATCCTGCGACAACGCATAGTCTCGCGTCGCATCCTATTGGTGTGCACGTGATCTGCACGCTAATCGATACCGCTTTGTTGTTGATTGGCTCTAATAGTGGTAGTGGCAACAAAAATTATCGTGTCGTAGAAGAAATTGTGAGTTTCTTGACATTACCCAAGCATGTTGCCAATGCGATCTGTGATCAATACGACAGCTTGCTCGTACGCCGCCTTATGCCTCTTCTGAAGCAAAAGCAATCTAATCTGGGAAAGATGCTTGCTTCCACCATTGAGCAGACAATGAGTTCTTTGCTGTACGATCCTATCGGAAACCTTGTGGTGCAGGAATACTTTCAAGTTATTGGTCCTGATGCAGCGTCAAAATTCACAAGCAAACTTATGGAAGAAGAAATTCTGGCCATGTGCCGGAGCCCATTTGCTTCTCATGTGCTGTTTACTTTGCTTGACGTTATCAACCCTGCTGCACGCGTGAGCCTTTGCAGCACTCTTAAGCCTCATGTTCTGGCTATCGCCACACATGTAAATGGTCGCTTTATTGTAGAACGTCTGGTCGCCTCCAGTCGTGAGGTACGAGATGAATTGGTGCGCCAATTTTATGCTCTGGCTAGAGAAAAAGGCACCCAACATGTGTTGTGTTCCCTTGTGTCTCATTTGGATCCTCGTGGCAAGACACACGTTATTGAAAAAATCATAGTCCCGAGACTGTTTGAACTTGCAACGCACTCCTGTGGGTCCATTGTCCTCCAGAAGCTTATGCAATCTGACGCTGGTATTGCTGCCGCTGTAAAAAAAAGAATAGCACAAGAAAAAACACTACGAAACGACTTGGCACAAAACTTCTACGGAAAGTTTGTGGTGCAAATTGCAGAAAACTAAATCGAAGACCAAGGGACTCGGGGAAAAGGTGTGATTATAATGATAATAATTTTTAATTCTGTTTACAGAAGTTAGAGCTAATGTGACGTTTAATTAGCATGGAATGACCTAATATAATAATAATAAACTGTTGAACATGGGAATGACCACGTGGCGCGTCTACCCTTGTTATTCTTCCATTCCCTAGCATTTGCGCATATAATGTCAATTCAAACATCCCAAACGCTATACTTTCTCCATTTCTATATTTCGAAGGTTAGTTGCAGCGAAACTTAGGTGAGGTTAAAAAAGTGGACGAGTAGGGGATCGAACCCTAGGCCTTCCGTATGCGAAACGGACGCTCTACCACTGAGCTACACGCCCCGTCTAACATGCTTTGTGGAATGTAGGATGCATCTTCATCGACTTGGTGAAGATGAAAAAAGGTTGCGCCGCCCGGGAATCGAACCCGGGTCAATACCTTGGGAGGGTACCATCATGCCACTAGACCAGCGGCGCCTTGGAGGAGTATTTTTTGGTGTCACGATGCAAAACTTAAAAAGTTGAAAACGGGGCCAGCACCCACTGGCACGGAGCCGATCAAAATTTTCCGGCCACCCTCTACGAATTAAAGGAATAGGGGGGAGGGGGGACCATTGAACCGCCTTCCCGACTACTACTCAGCAAATTCTTAAGCAAACGTTCTGATATTTTTTTTCTTTTCTGGGTTTCCTGACTTTGGGCGAGCCTTTTCCCGCTCAATATTATTGGTTGTATCTCTTTTTGTATAAATCTCCGTTAAAAAGCAATATATCCCTAAGAATACTAAAAAGCTCTTTTTAGAGCCAACTACTTCTATTTTTTTCTTTCAATTTTTTCGCCAACTGCTGAAAAGTAAGCGCGCTCTGCGCCAGTTCCCTTGATCTAGACTCTATTTGACTTATTTTTTCACCTCTTTCTTGAAGCTTCCGCATTCCTTCGCTCATCATCCGTCGTGCCTCTGTCAAGCTTACATTCTCACGCTCCGCGATTGCCTTTAGCTGAAGATAACGACTCCCAGATGGTGGTGCCTGCTCTGATGTCGCCTTAGCGTTGGATTGCAAAAGTTCCTCCAGTTCTTTCGAACGAATTTCCTTCTGCCGTTGGACCCGATGCGAAGCATCCAATGAAAAACTCGATGTTTGTACCTCCGTACAGGGTGCACTGATGGCTGGAGCTTCTGATGAACGGGCCGCACGATCGAAACTCCCCTGAGGAACCCCCACCGATTTCGATGGTTGAGCACTGCGAAACGTCTCAAATTCTAGCTTCTGGGCGATGTCCTCCCAAGGCAATATCATAAGGCGCTCGAAGAAGCCCCTCTCTTGCTTCAAGGTCGGTATCGGTGGGATAAAGCGGGAGTAGCCGCGGTAGTTCCACGGAACTGGTTGAAAATTTGGTTTAGGGAAAACTTCACGTTCAATAATAACGCTCTTACTGTCAGCGCCAAGGGTAGTTTCAATGCAAAGGTGTCCTATTGTCCCGCTATTCATTCCTAGCATGTAGACGTGCAAAACGTTGTCGATTTCAACCGGGAGCACCTGCAAATGCTCCTCACTCACAAAATCCAAAGTGGCATACCCTTGCATCCGCGGCTTTGCCATCTGGCTGTGAAGAATGTTGATCCAACGCCAGCCGTTAGCATCGCATGTAATCACAAGCAAAGCGCCGCGTCTGCGCAAAACGTGGAAAAATTCCAACCGACGGGCCGAGTCAATGCGACATACCACCGGTGTTGACAAGCCAGTTGAGAAAGACGAACTGTTGTCGGTGGTGATCCCATATTCCAGTGGGAAGTTAGTCGGCATAGCCAACAAAGCTGTAATATCAACCAAAGTGATCTCACTTTTGCTGATAAAAGCAATTGTGGTTGGTGTGCAGTCCTTGCGCGGTGCACCGGAAGTCTTACCAGAAAGATTACAATTGGTTGGAAGTGAATCTGGGTTGAGTAGATGGCTACACAAATTTCCCGTTGGAGTACAATAGAAAAGCTCCGCTCTTCCCAGGTGCCAAATCGCCCTTATGTCCACAATTGTTCCTGGTAAGTTTATCGTTGGCCCCGCATCACTGGTTTGACCATCAATAAGCAAGTCCAACGTTGTACCATCCGAACTGACATTAAATGTGAAATGAAGCACAGAGGCTGAAGTGTTGATGCAAATCCATCTTAATACCCCGTTGAGATCCCTTTCTGAGTTCAACTGAGGGTGTCGTATCCTATAACACCAGCCATCGCCATTCCCTGACAACCCAAAGCCAATCAAGATGGTAAAGACACGTGCCCCAATAGCATCACTACACACAACTTCACCATACTCACCCGCTTTGTCGGGTATATTAGTTGTTTCTATGATGACTTCATATTTGTGAATATCACCACCAAGGTTGGGCAATAGCGGAGGTAATGCATTTGTGACCTTTAACTCCTGCGCATTTAGTAAATAGGATGGCTGCTGATACGTAGTGATGTTCATGTTGCTTAGGTTGAATACAAAAAAACCCTTACCATCCGCGAAAAGGCAGACTACACAGAAAACTTTACTATCCACAGATGTGCTGGCAGAGCTGTTGTAAGACCAAAAAGCATCGATGCACACAGTTGTGGTCTCAGCCGGCATCAGCTCAAAAGGAATATGGATCATGTAAGGCCTCCCATCCTCATCCTTCACGCCGCTTAAATCCACCAACGCGATTGAGGAATCTTCCAGGAGCAACAACAAGCTCTTCCCTGTCTGATAAATCGACATTGTCGAGTTCGCAGAGGATGGATCAAGGCGAGCGTCAACAACAATTGCCTTTTTAACCAAGCAAGCCTCCGACGTGGTGTGGCTCTCCAACTGCAGCGCCGCACGGTCTAAATACCACACCAGTGAGCCACCATTTCTGCGAATGTCAAATTTCATCGCCATAAGTCCCAGCTCCGTCGAGTACACACGGAGAATAATCTCGTTTGGCAAAAACACCACATCCAGAGCCGGCAAGGCCTCTTCGAGAACCAGCGTCCCAGCGCATTCCGCGGCCGTGAGAGAGGCCCATGGGGGGCAGCTCCGCACCGCCATCGAGTTCACCGCAAAGATCTCGTTGGTTTGGGGCGCTAAACAAACCGCCTGTGCGGCCTCGAGGACAGTCGCAAATAACATCCCACGCCAAAGCGGGTTTGGAAGGTGCCCGGAGGAATCGCAGGCCGCGTCCTCCCGCAAACCCTGCAAAAGCAACGCGTCGCCGCCGCGGAGGAGCGCCTCGTACGAGGAAAGCTGCGGCGCGTCCGGAAGCCCGGCGGCCAGCGCACGCACGCGCACCTCGGGCAAGCTCAGCAAAATGGCGCGCGGGAACCATGCCACAGATGCGCTCAGCTCGCGAATTTCCTGCAAACTCTCAATCCCACCCATTTGCTGGCTTCGCTTGGCGAGAATGGGCCTTAAACCACCGGAACTTGTGATCAAAAGAGCCTGCAGGTCTGTTTGGGTTAACGTGCTAGGCCAATACTTGGATATCGCGCACGGCTCAACGTGAAATATTTTGAAATATTCCTCCGTATCGCTGTTGTCTGCGGAACGCCGTACATTTTGACCCTGCTTCTTTTCGATCAGAGCCTCCATCCCGGTCGAGGCGGTGGTGGCGTTCAAACACTCGATCACCTGATTAAGCCGCACAACCTGCTTGAGTTCAAGCCGAAGTACGATCTCCACGATATCACTCTGCCCGTGAACAAGCAAGTACATCAGACTGCGTTTGTCGGTAGAAGGAACCCCATCGAGGGTGGCGCGGGCCATGTGAATACCAACACGATATTCATTATACCAAAAAGACTCGTCAGAGGAACTTTGTTGGACCCCTCTCGTGATGCTCTCGCTCAGATCTATAACCCAGTGCAACTCGATAGTCTTGTGTTTCTTTTTCTTATCAATCCATACGACCACTTTCGTCGCGTAAAGCGTAGCTGCCACGACGTACACGCCACCTGGGGTAATTTTGCAGGTCACAAGGGTGCAGTCTGTCTGGCCTTTGAGGCTGCGGGAGTCGAAGAAACAGCCTAAACGCCCTTCCGCCACGCCCCACTTACAAACCCCCGGTACCCCCGCCACAACACCGACAAAACTGTTCGGATTCTCGGGGTGGGAGTCCAAGGAAAGGACAGAACCCGGCAGGAAAACCTTCTCCACGGCCTCATTGGCGAGAACCTCACGGAAAGCCTTGGCGTCCGGAAGAAACGGCTCACAAAGCCCAAGCAAGTTGGTAGAGACGGCAGTCCAGGAAATCTGCGCGCGGCCTTTCCCCCCTTCCTCGGTGGGCTGCCAAGCAAAGTACGAGACGACGCCGTTTTTCCGCCCCACCGCGCCGCAGGTGAGGCCAGCCGGGAGGTGAAGGCACGTGAAGGCGGCGGTGGGATCCCGCGAGGGGAGGAAAGAGTCCGTCCTGGATGACGCCCCATAATCCGCGCCTATCAGCACCTCAGGAGCGAGCAGCAGGAAGGTAGTCGTCCCGGGGTAAATCCCGGCATCGATCCACCCCGTGCCGTGGTGCGAGGTCGGGAGCAGGCGACGGGTAAAGTCCTTTCCGAGCACCACCACACCAACCCCATTGCCGACGCAAAGGAGGACGCCTAAAAGGGGGTCGTACCGACACATGTGGTAATCCGCCCACACGACGGTGGTGTCACACCGCAGACGGAACTCCACCGCGGCGGACGACGCGCAAGGGGCGGGTGACCCTACCGATAACAAGGAGACGTCGCGGTCCATAAGGGTTTACAGGTCTGTGTCAATTTCCTCCCTGGGGTATGTAGGGTTGACCCTTGTGAGTAATGGTATATATTTTTCCTTGTATGTTTGTGTGTGTGTGTAGGAGGGGGTAAGGGAAGAAGCACCTTAACTAGGTTTGTAACAGTAAAACTATAAGAATCGTTTCCTTAGAGGATATTTGAATTCAAGTGCGACGATTGTTCGCAAGAGGAAAAAAGACAAAGTCAGAGCTTAAAATATGTTTTTAGACTAGTTGGCATGTCGAACAGAAACAACATTGAAATACGGAAAACAAGAATATCTATATGTTTGTATGTGTATGTCTGCGTGTACACATAAAAAGAAAGCAATCGGGAAGGGAGAAAAGGACACATAGCAACTTATGAGGCTGTGAACTATCATCTGAGGTATTCGATACGCCTCCGTATACTGCTTCATGAAATATAAAATGCGAACTGGCGAGAAAGGGATAAAAAACACTGATTGGTATTTTTATCCTTTTCGGATTTCTATTCACATATTCCTTTTAAAAACTGACACCTTAGAACGACAACTTCAACAGGTGCCCTTTTAGGGGCTTTAGAAGCGTTTAGAAACAGGCTTCAGGATGCCCAAAAGCTCACTTGATGCGAATCACCCTTAAGTTTACTTGCTAGTTATTTCTTTCAGCTGATTCTTTTCGCTCGTTATGAAGAATTCAAGCCTCAACAGATGCATTTTACGAGGCCTTTCAGAATTTGACTATATCGATTTAGCTATAGTGTTGCAATAAACCTTCAGACCCTAGTGTCATGCTCGTATTTGCTTTTCACTTTATGTGTTGTCTCTTATACATTTTTCCCATACTTTCTACAGTATTTTCATGACAAGAGAAGTTGCTCAGATTCACTGACGTCCGTTTTTGAAGTGCAGCCATTGACCTTCACCTTTTTCAACACTAGATATAAAAAATAAATATCTTATGAAGCCTAAATGAGTGAGTAGAGAATGTATTCATCGCATCGATGCCTTGAGTTATCGAAAATTAGAACGGTATCCCATTCAAGTGTCACGCGGCCGAGAGAGTGGGTTCTAAAAAAAATCACCTATACACCTTTATTTCGTCTTTTGTCACCAAACACAAGTGAGAGTCTTAGTCACTAATAAAAAAAATACTCATCAAAGGTGCTTGTTGATTCCTTCTTCTTTATTAAAGGGGATAAGTATGCCAATTGTTTTTTCACTTACTTTTCTTGAAGGAACGAGACGAATAAATGTATTAGTAAACTATGTCGAATCGACACGTAAACGCAAAGGAGTAAGATGAAGATATAGAAAAAAAAAGGATGGATTTTTTTCTCATATATAGATTTAATACAATAAAATATATCAAAATATTAGAAGCAGCACCAATTTTCCTTGAAAGGACGTGGATGAAAAATTGGGAGAAATGGTTTGACCCACATCGAGCTGAAACACAACAGACGCATTTTTCCCCTTTAAAATGGAATAGAAAAAAATAGCAGTTGGCTAAATGAAAACGCATCACTCCTTGAGAATGCTCTAAATTTCACTATATTTTTATTAATGTTTTGCAGCTGAAAAAAGCAGATTTTTTTTACAAATAAAGAAGTAGCTATAGATGAAATAAAATAGCGTAAAATAAAAAGCTATGAATAAGAATAATGGAAACGTGAAAAAAATGCTGAATCAAATAAAGGTATCAACAAATAATTACATAAATAAATTTATTAAGTAAAAAGAGAATTGTAATTTTAGAGAACAGGTGAAGAAGTATATCAGCCGAAATGATACAGTATGATTGGAATAAAATAAAAATTTTCTTTGAATTGACAGAGTGCATTGGGAATCATCCATCCAGTTTTTTAGATCTGAAAACCTATCCATTTGGTTCACTGACAACCAAAAATGGACCTACATGCCCATATAAAGCAGGTATAAAAGGCTTATAGGAGTTTTCAACGTCAACTTCGACACCAATAAGATGTTCACCTATGGTGTCCACTCTTAAGTCGTCAAATAGAAAATTCGCATATGCATAAACTTCTGGATATTTAGCCTGTCTATCTATACTAAATGTAAAATCAGGGTATGAAAAGTCTGGAAGTAAGGCGTTCTGACTCTGAGTGGTGGAACAAGAAGTTATGGTGGTGGAAGCCTGGTTGTTGATATCAATCTCATTAGGATACTGTAAACTCGACCGGGGAACGTAGGACGGAGTTATTTCGTTGATGTTCGTTATGAATCCATCAAAGGGGCAAGAGTAGTCTGAGGAGCTAATCAGAGTTTTGGGAACAATCAAAATGTTATCGTCTGCCCCCACGGTGACAGATGACGAACACATTAGATCTGACATCGGCGCCTCCTGCGGCCGCGACATCGACAACTGATCACCTTGGGAGTTGACGGATGTGAGGACATCCATAATCGTGGAATCCGAATAGCTAAAGTTATCCTTTGTATGCAGTTCAGGGTAATTCATTCGGGAAACCTGTGGCATCAGGCTCAGTGTCTGGGAAGAGTTGTTGGTTGTTAAAGGGCCACTCCGGTCCCCCAGTGAATCATATGAGTACTGAGTTGTGAAAAAGTGCGCTCGGCGGTGTCGGATCTCCTTGCAGCAGGTACCGCCTAGCGTAGACAAAGCCGGACGGGCGAGAAAAAGTCGCACGGCGTGATAGCCTCGAATGGCATCCATGACCTTGCAGTGCTGTGTACACATCTCTAACGACTCCCCAAAGCTCTCTCTATGGTCGTCGAGGCGGATGTGTAGGGTTGGGAGAATGGCCCCAGGGACAATCCGGTCCTGGCTTGTCATCCACCAAAGCCGCAGCGCGACACGTCGGAGCGAGGCGCAGATAGGAAAGGGATGAAAAAGAAGCACAAACCTCTTCCTGAGGCGTCGCGAGATGTCGCGCAGGAGCTGCCTCACCTCGGTGGCCCCCCCTGCGTCGCGAGTGACCACGGCGATTGTGTATAGGGCGTTATCGATGCGCTGGACAAAAACCCCGTGAAGGACCCTCGTCCCATGGCGTGGGTGATAGCCACACACCTCCGGGTTCCTTCCCCCATCCTCAAGGATCAACTCCCCAAAGAAGAGCGCGATGAGGCGCCAGAGCCACATTACCTCCTCCCGCTCCACCCTTTCAAGGTAATGGCAACAGGTGAACTCGTCGTACTGCGCGGAGCCCGCCATGATTGACACGCATCCCCCGCGCGGGAGGAGGAGGGGACAGACCGTTGCAGGGACCTCCGCGGTGAAACCCGGGGATCGGCCCCAGTAACGGTGAAAATACCCCCCCCAACGATGGGAGGGCTGAAG